TTTCCTTAACCTGCACTAATTATGCACACATTATTGCAAAAACTGTAAAAAAAAAAAACACAATTTTTTTTTGCATTCTTCTGTATTTTTTTTTAAATAATAAATAAGCATTTATATATATGTGTGTTACATCGAATTAAAGCCCTTTCTGTCCTTTAAAAAACAATATATAATATGTGTCGGTGCAATAAATAAGTAAAATGCAAATTGTAGTTGAACGCAAACAGCAAAAAATGAAAAACATGCTGTTGTCATTAAGTGAAAGACAAGCTTCTGATCTCTGTCCTTAAGGGGTTAAAATAAAGTAAAAAAGTGAGATACTCACAAAAGGAGAGAAAAAATGGTTTTGCTCAATCCAGATAGTGTAGGTCAAGCATGTCAAACTCAAAGGCTAGCATGGGCCACACAAACAAGGTTTTAAGTTTATGTGGGCCGCAAAAAAACCCTAAACCTTAAATTTTCATAGAAACGTAGGTTTGTTTTTAAAAGTACAGTGTAAAAAGAAAAATGCGTCCCTTCTACTAAACCCCAGTGTCCCCCTCTGCACTATAGTATTGTGCATGGATTGCTTTTTATGTGTGTTAATAAGGGCTACAGAACCTAATACATATCTGACTTGCTGAATTTTATTTGTTTCAAGAAGAGAGGGTAAGCATGACATCTGAAAATACTTTGACTATTGAATTTTCTTTTCAGGGATTTACATTTTGGAGGAAGTTAATGTATCAAACCTATCTTTGTGTTTAACCCCTTAAGGACCAAACTTCTGGAATAAAAGGGAATCATGACCTGTCACACATGTCATGTGTCCTTAAGGGGTTAATACTATTGGAGGAACAATCACCCACCTCTTAGAATTGGGATCTCCCTGGTACTTTATATCTTTTAGTATCCCTATCTACAAATTCAGTGGGTGGAAACACATACCTTCCCACATTTCAAGGACAAAGATGGTTACTTTAATTTTAGGGGTGTGAATGGCCAGGGGCAGAGCTGTTCTTTGAAATTGTAGGTGACTTACTAATATAAATGTAGGCAACTAAAATGTTATTTACAACAAGAACAATGTATTTTATTTACACAGACTGATTATTGTAGATTAAAAACACATTATTGTGAGTATTATTGCCATGGAGCTCTGATATAAATTCAGTCACAACAAGAACAAAAAATTATATTAGAATAGAGGGCAAATGTATTTGGGCCCAAAATAGGGACTGTCCCGAACAAATATGGTACGTTGGTAGGTTTGGAAATATGTAACAAACTTATGCTCCCTAGCTATTTGCACATGATTTGGGGAGGGCAGAGAAGTGATTGCTAGCTTTCCTTTGGTTTTACAGAGAGGTTTTGATGTCATTATTTGTTTGTGTTATTGCTTTTTTAGTTACTGTAGAAGACCGTGTATTCCATTGCTACTCTTTTCTGCAGCATCGAAAGAGTTACTGAGATCAGGAATTAGATAGATTGAATATGCATATTGAAAGTCTAGGAATTCACATCCTGAAATTGGGCTTTGTTCCTGGGCTTGTAGACCTGATCTGGAATAAGAAAGAGAAAGCAAGTTTTCATCAGAGTTTTACAGCTGGTTTTACTGTTTAGGATATTTTGGGTTCATGTGGTGTAGGTGGGATTACGAACAGCAGAAGGCTTAGACAATTTCCTTCAAATGATGAATACATTATAAAATGCTAACAATTGAACTCTGAATATGAATATGACATTCTCACTGGAGCAAAATGACTCATTTCATTCCATGAAAATTTTAAGGTATATAGGCAGTTTCTATTGTTATCGTTCTGTAAATGCCATAAATCTAAACAAAGATGTGTGAGAGAGTTGGATTATAGTAGAGAATTCAATCCACTAACTGAACACTGTAATTTATGTATATACATATTAGCAAATTCAGCATCCTGTGTAGTGGGTGGGGGGAAATGGGTGCTGGCCAGTCAGGTATTTTGCGTCACAGGCTCCACCCACATGGGTGTGTCCACCCATACCATTGACAGGCCAGCCTGGCGTGAATGCATGTAATGCCCGCTGACAATTAAGCAGGCTGGCCCACTGAGGGCAGATCATGCAGGGATCACTTTCAGTGTTTCAGTGCTCTTTGAGGGGGCCGAGTGTCCTGAGCAGAGCACAACGTCTAATGATGTGCTTGTATTATGCTTGTTAAGGACAGTTACTGGGTGTTACGCTCTGTCCTTAACAAGCACACTGTGAGCTTGGCAGGATGGCAAGACAGGAGCTGAAAATTAGGAGGGTTGAGAGACCTGTATCTATTTAGTTATTATTACATTTGTGTCTTTTATTTGTTTGGATTCCTGGCACCCGACATTTAAAAAAATAAAAAATATATGAGGGCATGGCACCATGCTGGATGATTGCATTGCAGTACAGCTCCCGAGACTTTTTGCTTTTTAAACGATCTAGGAGTATTATTCTCCATTGCTTAGCTGGGGTAATTGCTAAATAGGGTGCTGGTATCTTATTTGCTTCTACTAACCCTGGCTTTGATCGTTCAGCGTGGAGACTGCCTATGGAGAAGAGAGCCACTCCTTTAAATTACCCTCCATTGAAGCACCTGCAAGCTTTTGTTCACTTCCTCATTAAACCGGCAGGGGTTATCCCAGTCCACTCTGGAGCAGCTCCTTTTTTCAGCTGGCCTCTCCTGCGTGTACACCTAAAATGGCTGCTGGACCCATGTCAGCTCTTTAATAGATGCAGGAAACATTGCACCAACAGAGTACCATCCTTCTCCATGCATTTGATGCCCGGTGTTCTAAGTACGGGAATGGGTCACCTCTTCCACCCACCATGAGGTCTAGGAGACCTGGGATGGGGCTCTTATAGCTAAAGCTACCCATCCTCTCTTAGCTGGGCCACAATCCTTTGCAAGATACTCTGCCATGCCCTGCCTGCACCTTTGGAGGGATCCCAGTTGGCGACGCAGATTCTTGCCTGGAGACATCGCAACTCTACTCTAGCACCATGCCCTGTTCCAAGCCTGGCTCCAGTGAAGTATGCCGCATGGTGAATCATCCTGCTCATATTGGCCTACTAGGCCCCAATGCCTTACTGCAGGTGTGTTTCCTAACATGGGCTGACTCTTAGTTTTATAAGCCCCAGTGAGGAGGGGTCCCAGCACAAGTTATTACCTGTTGACTGTGACTCCTTTATTTTCAGCTTTTGACAATTTTTTTTTGTCTTGCCTAGCAGTCTGTGTTTTTAAACTATTTTTACAGCTGTCCGTCACAGCTGATCTAGTGATTGCCTATCTTCAGCTAGATGTTATACTACTATAAAACTAGACCTGCTGATATTACCATTTTTGGGGCATACAGCATGTTGTATTTTATATATCTAATGTTTGCTGCATATCCGAAAGCCATACTATGGTATTCTTTCATTAAGAATTAAGAAACATTTACAAAAACAAAACAAAGAAAACATTAAAAAAATTTCATTATACTTACCTTTATTTCATCCTTGAGACAGACTCCTCACAGATGCCCATTCACCCACTCGTGAAATCATTATAGATGACTTTTCTCCAATCAAGTTTTTCCCACAGAAGAGAACTGCAGACATACATTTATGTGCCAGGATGCCAAATCCAGTGCTTCTCAAAGAGAAGTATTGGAGGTACACAGCATGCAGTTATCAGCATGCTTTAATTAGATTTACTTGTATTAGAAGCCCCAAGTGTCTGTCTGTCTGTCTGTCTATCAGTTACACGTAGGCATGGAAACTGTAACCAGTGCTGCTTCTCAGAAAAGATTAAAGGACCACTATAGTGCCAGGAAAACATACTCGTTTTTCTGGCACTATAGTGCCCTGAGGGTTCATAATGCTTTCCTATGGACGCTGGCGTGCTCTCACTGTGAAAATCACAGTGAGAAGCACGCAAGCGCCTCTAGTGGCTGTCAATGAGACAGCCACTAGAGGAAATAGGGGAAGGCTTAACCCATTCATAAAACCGACCTTTAAAAAAATAAAAAATATATGGGGGCATGGCACCATGCTGGATGGTTGCATTGCAGTACAGCTCCTCTGAAACTGTTATGTTTATGAAAAAATGGGTTAACCCTAGCTGGACCTGGCACCCAGACCACTTCATTAAGCTGAAGTGGTCTGGGTGCCTAGAGTGGTCCTTTAAGCAATTTTAGTGCTTAGCATATTCTATTAATGAATACCTCTCCAAATATGTTAATGCTTTGAAAAGTAGGCTTTCGAGTGTAAGAGATAGAAACAGCGAACATGATCTTTGGTGTTCAAAGAGTTAAAATTCAGAAAAATACATACAATGCAGCTCCATGGTGATAGAGTGTGCAATTAAATGGCGATCATTATCTGACGTAAGAAGCAAGCTCTTCAAAAGAAGCAGTCGATGTGTTCTCAGCAATAATGTATAGTATATCTGGCAGTTACTAATTTGATTGTTCTTCTAGTTCCCATGTGAACCAAAAGAAGAGAACAATGCAAGAGCACAAACAAAAGGACGTCTGCTTGTGGAAACTGGTGGCAAATATAAAATGGTATCTATAGTATCCTTTTTTTAGCATTATGGCTAATACAGTGTATAGATGAAGGTTTGCTGCCCTGCACTTTGAGATTCACCTTGACACATTGTGTAGCAGTGATAAATGGCTATCTATTAATATTTAAATCAGATGCGTATATGGCTTTTGAATACGGGTGTTCTACACCCACTGTAAACAGTGATCTAACATTTTTAGATCCTATAACAGTTGTGCTTGTGTAGGTGTTGTCATCAAACATGTCTTTATCTTCATCAGTGGATTATTGTTAAACCCATTCAAACTAATTACTCCTGTGAGGTTTCTCAGCAAGCTAAATATAATCATACTGAAGATTTTAAAGTAAGTCAAGAGGGTGTCAATAAAATTTTTGCAAGTCTTTGCATGCAACACTGGCTCCAGAACAGAATAACGTGTTAAATGGTGATAATCTTTTAACCCATACCATGCTCACAAACAGTGCAAAGATATTTCCTCATTTATTAATTTATTATTCACCATGACACTTTAGGTTAACTCTTGTGGTTAGTTTACACCAATAATGTATATGTAAAGATCGTGGGCTTAAAGGGACAACTTGGAGTTCTCCATGATTTGCGTGATTCAATTAGCATTCTCTCATCCGCTTTATTTTAACGTCCTCACCACGGATTCTGTAAGAGAAAAAAAATACTTCTGTAAAACGTTTGCACTGTAGTGGTTTGTGCAAGGAGAGCACTGTCATTGTAATTTGTCAAATCATTTTTGAACAGTTTTACAGCTTACCTGTATTGCCGGGATATCTGCACTGCATCTGGTCTTCACCTGCAGGAGAATCCTGTTCGCTCTACTGAACAAAGCAAGGCCGTGCAGACCCATGCTCATTGGCTGAAAGCGTCAAATGAGCTCTCTCAGCCAGTGAGCGCGATCCTGCATTGGCCGTGCCTAGCTGGATAGCCTTCTTGTTTCTGCTACAGAAGAAGATCAAATGCAGAGCAAGCACTCAGAAAGCTCAGGTAAATTGTTACTGTTCTAAATGGACAATCCTGGCACCTTAACCACCGCAGTAAGCAATACTGGTTATGGTGCTTGGAGTGTTCCTTTCATTTAGGGCTGGGCAAATGGTAGATATCCAGATATTGTAGAGCGGCAACTAACATGATGTATCATGGTCGTTGGAGTTCTTCCACATCTGGGGATCTACCGTTTGCCCAGCCCAGCTTTAATTCATTATGGAAAATATGCAAATTTTTTTGATATTTTACTATATTTGGTAAATATATCCAAGTTGGATAATTTTTCCAATTCAGTCATAGCCTAGAATTTCTAATTCTTTGTCGGTTTTTCCATATTTCCCAGTTTAGTGGAAAACCCTACATAATGGTATTATCTATTATATTTATCTAAGTAAAGTTTGTATTTAAAGTTACACTCTGTCTGTATATAAAATCAGTGATGTGACATGCAATGCTTGATATGCTGTACTGTTTGTTAACGAGTATACATTGACAGATACAGGCAGGCAGTGCTCCTTTGCAATCCATTATTAATAGAGGTTAATACCTGATCACTCGTTCATGAAAGTAAAGGGAGATGCAAGCCAATCCCTTAACCTTGGCAGACTGGTATAGTTTACTGCTCTGGCACACCCTTCAAAGCGTGCAGAGCCCATATGCCACACTGTGCCTTACAGGCCAAGGCTGGGTAAGCATGTTGGAAACCGAGCGCATACCACAGTGGATTAGGCAACTCAGCCTGTGTTTGTCTGAGCTTGATCGCATTGTATTATACAGCAGCTATTCCTGAACAAGCCGTCAACTGCTGCTTTCACAGTTGCTGTGGACTATCGCTCTCAGTAATCTCAGCCATTCCTTATTGTACTGCCATCCATAGCAACTATAGCAGGGAATAACAAATTTCATCAGATTCTGGGGAACGACTTCTTTATGTAAAGTGCCACAAAAAAAAATAAAAAATAAAGAGGACAATTCTCTTCTGTGTCACGGAATAAGAAAATCTGAGCACAGGCTGTAAAGAGTTGTAGAAATTGACAGGTACTTAGCTCCTCAACTGTCATCTTCCAGCATTTTGAATAACAGGCATACTTATATATTTAACAAATATGTGTTAGTGAGGTCTGAAAACTAAAATTAAATGTGGAAATTCACATATATCTCCTGGAGATATTTTGGTTTAATGACAGAAATTCAAGGACAGTATTTATATCATCTTTGTCATTAAAGGGGTTCTATAGAGTTAGGAATATAAATCTGTATTCCTAACAGTATAGTGCCCTCTGGTCCCCTCTTTTTAAAAATAAAAAAACAGGGCACCATCTTCACATAGTGCTTCAGGAGTCTGGTCGGTTAGCCACCAGGAACAGCATCTAATGGATGTTTGATTGACAGCCACTAGAGGCAGTGTTATTGCTGCAATGTAATCATTGCGGTTTCTCTTTATATTGCAGGACTAAGTGGGACAGATGAAGTGGTCTGGGGGCCTGTAATGTCTCTTTAAACATACTATATGTGTGGTGGAGAAAAAGCAATATTCTGATTTCTACCCCAATCAAGCAAAGCAACGTGTGCCTGGACTGATCTGAATTGTGACACATGCAACTAAATCTTTAACCCCTTCCCGACCAAGAACATATCAGGTACGTCCGACACAAAATGGTCCTTACGGACAGCGGATGTACCTGATACGTCCGCGGGGAATTAGAGTGCTGGAAGCTCTGATGGTATTGCAGCAATGCCTTGATGTTGAGGCATCGCTGCGATATCCCCCTCACTGCCGGTGGCCCCCGGAGAACACGTGGCACCCGGCAGTGAGGCAGAGCATTGGAAGCCATCAGGCAGGCTTCCAAAGCTCTGCCTGTAATGAGTGCCTCGAGGGGTCACCATGATCACATTGCTGCAATAGGAGTCTAGGAGCTGCCAGCAGGGGGACTGTCTGAGCTGTCAGACAGTCCCCCAGGCTGCATAAAAGTAAAAAAAATAAATAAATATATTACATACATATATATCTCAAAATACACTTATGATTAAATCATATATATGTATAATATATTATAAAATGTTTAATTATAATATATTATACATATAAGAAATAAGTGTGTGTGTGTGTGTGTATATATATATATTATATATATATATATATATATACACACACACACATATTATATACACACGTATATATGTGTATGTGTGTATATATATATATATATATATTATTATTATTTATATAGCGCAATCAGATTCCGTAGCGCTGCACATACATACACACGTATTATGTGTGTGTGTGTGTGTGTGCATATATATAGACTTCGCTGAACACTAACATGAGTGTTTAAAACAGTAAAACCTATCACGACGATTAAATCACCAGTAAAACTGCAGTTTTTGTGTAAAAAAATGCAAAAAACAAATATGAACGCTAACTTTGGTAAGCGTATGTGGCTACTACAAAAGACTGGACATACCCCATTTTGAATACCGTGGGTTGTCTACTTTTACAAATGGTATGTCATGATGGGGTTAATTTTCATTCCTGGACTGCTATATGGTCTCACAGGGCAACATAGGCCCAGCAAACCAATTTGGCAAATTTCAATGTGCAAACATGGAAAAGGGGAAAGCCCTACATTTACCCCTGTAAATTTGTAAAAACCCATAAAACCTGTACATTGGGGGCACTGTTGTACTTGGGAGAGGTTGCTGAACACATATTGGGGTCAGTAACATAACAGGAACTGAGAATCCATGCCTAAATTACATGAGAGAAAAATAACACAAAAAAATGACTAACCGAAAGTTTGACAAAGACTGGTGGTAGAATTAGTGCATTGAAAGTGTTAAAATACCACCATTTGAAATACCCTAGGGTGTTTACTTTTCAAAAATATATGGTTTGATGGGGGTAAATTGCATTGGCCGGCTTCAAAAATGTCCCAAATAGGACATGGGTGCATGATGACCAGTTGAGAAAATTCCAAGTTGGAAAACTGGAATGCGCACCCTCCAAATAAGGTCTTGTAGCCCCCAAAGAACCCGAAACACCTATACATGTGGGTATCACTGTACTCAGGAGATGTTGCTGAACACATGTTGGGGTGTTCTTTGGCAGTAAACTTTAAAGTTATTCGTACATGTATTCTTAAATTGCTATGTGTGTCAAAAAAATCACAAATATTTTTTTTTTTAATTTTGCATAGATTGGCGGTAAAATGGTTGAATGAAAAGAATCAATATACCCCCGGTTTAATATCTCAGGTTGACTTCTTTTAAAAAAATATATACATGTGAAGTTTTATTCTAGGATTCCTGACAGATATCAGTGTTACAATGTAACGTTAATTTTGAAAACAAATGGTTTGGAAATAGCAAAGTGCTACTTGTACTTATAGCCCTATAACTTTCCCAAAAAAAGCTGAGAACATGTTACATTGGGCATTTCTAAATTTAGGACAAAATTTTGAAACTATTTAGCATGGGTGTTTTTTTGGTGGTTGTAGATGTGTAACAGATTTGGGGGTCAAAGTTAGAAAAAGTGTGTTTTTTTTTTAGATTTTTTTCATCATATTTTATCATTTTTGTTTTTGGTAAATTATATGAGATGATGAAAATCTTTAGAAAGACTAATGGCGAGAAAAACTGTATATAATATGTGTGAGTACAGTAAATGAGTAAGAGGAAAATTACAGCTAAACACAAACATTGCAGAAATGTAAAAAGAGCCCTGGTCCTTAACAGTAAGAAAATGGGAAAATGGTCTGGTCACTAAGGGGTTAATATACAATTTAAAGTAAAATGAGCACCACATTAAATACATTTATTATTATAAAAAAAATACAGTAGATTATCATCAGCGTGTCTGTGTATGTCAATGACTCTACATTTTATGCAATGTGTGCAACACACACACACACACATTCATTATACATGAAGTGCAGTCATACATGGATTACATATGAAGTGCCTGCATGTGTGTAAGGGGTATATTATGCTGAAGACCCTAATGTGGTGACATTCTGTCACCAATGTAATATGGTGACCAGGGGTCATGTGACCAAGCTCATGTATGCTTTTCTTACAGTGGGATAAGCATTACCCTTTGATATGGTAATTGGGTAATTCAATACCTTTACAAGTCAGGAAAGAGATAACCACTTCCCCCTATCTCCATTCCTCTCTGTTCCTTCTTAGCTGTGCTACAGAGCAGATATGCAGACACCATGTGCTATCATGGTGAACCATGTTACACTCCGTTGCTTCCTTTTCTTCCTTGGTGGTTGTGATGTTGAACTTGCAGCAGTGAGCCGTTACTAGATGTGAAGGCCTAACCGTGGGTGAGATCAAACGTGTGGGGAAGGGGATTACTATATAGATAGATTTAAAAAGGGTTGTTGCTCCGTGGGTCTGGGCTGTGTGTTTGTGATAAATTTATAGTATTGTGTTGTTGCCTTCTAATAAATACCTTTTGATGTAGACAAACCTTGTGTAATATATATATTAATTTGGTAATTGATCATTTTACCACACCTAAAACATCAGAGCAGCACAAAATCATCTTAATTTTTCTGCTAAATGTGGTGCTCAAGTGGGCATGTGGGTGCCATTTCCAGTGGCATCAGTTGGGAGAAAACCTGCTGTTGTGTCATTAGGTCATTGGAAGCAGCAGCACAGAAGGTGTTTTCCAGGTGGCCAAATGGGAGCAGGTACGATATGCAGAAGCAATAGGCATCTAAGTGCCTATTGCATAATGGCTTGTGCAAATTTAACATCCAATATATTTAACTGCTGCAGGGATGTGAGCTTCTAAATATGGTGGCAGGAGAGCTTCTGGGACCTGCCTGTGATGATGTCAAAGTGGAAACATGCTCCATAAGAGTTTATCAATTAGCCTTACCTGTTAAAGTAACACAGCATGCATTCATTTGAATATGTGACTCCATTTGTCCCACAAACAGGGTGTAAGTCTCTTGGACATCCAGGCAATTTGTATAAATCACATTTTGGCTACAAAACACAAGTTAAAAAATATATTGTAAAATACATTACACAGTCAAAAGATATAAGACAAAGTAGTGACCTTTTTTGTGTTACGTCAAGACCTCAAGTTGACAAAACTTATCAAAAGGCAAAGTCATCATGAGACAATATCTTCCATGATCTATCAGAATGCTCCAATGACATTGGTGTTGTACACTCACACATATCCAAGAGTACACCACTGACATGCACTCGTGGTGGATGAAGCACCAAGAGCAGAAAACTGATGGTAGCTTACTTGGAGAACAGCATTAAGCAAATACAACTTACCAATTCTGCCAGTGGCTGTTCACTGTTTAAAAAAAAAAAAAGGGTTCCCCCCTCCCGACCTTTAATAGACATGCTCCTACTCGCGGTATAGCGAGTAGGGGCATCATTTACTAATACTAAGTAATCTTTACTTAGTATTAGTAAATTTGGCTGAAAGACCAATTTAGGTCTTTCAGCCTTTTAGTAGATTGCTCCCTAATACCGTGGGAATTAGGGAGTTATCTACTTATTCATTCCTGTCATTACATTGATTGGCTAAGTAACTTACATTTTATATGAATGTATGTTACTTGATTGTTGTAAGTGTTGCAAATGCTTACAGCTGAATCCTGGCTACGTTTGTATACTTTTTATTTACAATTGTATACAGTGTAACATTCTTCTTCTTCCACTGGGTAAGTATATTAGTACTTAGGCAAAACTGTGCTTCGGAACTTCGGTAATTTCGGAACTTTGGGACCTTTGTAATTCGGTACCCGAATGTCCGAATTGCCCGAAATTCGTCTGAATACATATTCGGCCCAAAACGAATTGCACATGTCTACCTTGGAATACCAGGTGTGTCTGGCTTGACAACTGGATATTGAGAATTGGGCTTCTCAGCCACTCAGAGATCCACACGATTGCGTCGGTCGAGAGTTCCTTCGATATCCAGAATATAAGAGCGTGGTGCAACCTTTTGCAGACAGGTTCCCATTCTCCAGCGACCTGTTCAATCTCCAGGAAGCTGTTTCATACGGATTTGTTCCCCAATATTCAGTTCAGGTAAATCCCTAGCAGATTAGTCATATCTAGCCTTAAAACACTTGCCTCTTAAGTCGTAACTTTTCTGGTACACCTTGTATTACAGAGGGTTCAAGTAGCTTGTTGGCTACTGGTAAGTAGCTCTTTAATCTCCTTGACATCAGTCTCTGTGCCAGACTACTATCCATACCCTCTGTTGGAGTGTTTCTCCACTGTAAGATGGCTTCCCATGGGTCTTTACCATCACTTTTAGCTTTTTTGCATAAATTCTTCACTATTTTCACAGCAGATTCAGCTTTGCCATTAGCTTGTGGATGACGTGGTGAAGAAATCACATTCTCAAAAGCCCATTCAGTAGCAAATTTCCTGAACTGTAAGCTTGCAAACTGAGGACCATTGTCTGAAATCACTTTAGTTGGTTGGCCATGACGTGCAAATTGCTCCTTGCATCGATTAATTGTAGTTTCAGTGGACATGTCAGGAAGCAGTTCAATTTCCCAGAAGTCTGAGTAATGATCTACTAAGAGCAGGTACTCTTTTCCAGCATGGTTGAATAAGTCCATGCTTACAATCTGCTAAGGACGTGTAGGTATCTCATGTGACATCAAGGTTTCTTTTTGTTGCGAGTGTGCATATTCATTGCAAGTGGGACAATTGCTGACAAAGTCTTTGATTTCACCTTGCATGTTGGGCCAGTAAAGAGTATCACAAGCTTGTCTGTAGCAAGCCTCACCTCCAATGTGGCTTGAGTGTATGTGCGAAAACATCTCTGCTCTTAGTGACTTTGGCACTATGACCCTTGGACCTTTGTACAAGATACCATTTTGTATGCTGATCTCATCTCTGAAGGACCAATATTCCTTCACAATTGCAGGTGCTGCATCCTTTTCATTTGGCCACCCCATCAGAACTATAGACTTCAGTGCTTGCAAAGTTGCATCACTTTCTGTGTGCTGTATGAGCTGATGTAGTCACTGATCTGTGACATTAAGATAGTCAGCTTGATTGACTTCGGCAAATAAATTCTGTTCCTGCTGCAACAAACAAACTGCAAGATGCTCATGTTCACCTCCAGGTGCCACGTGTTCCATTGAAGCTCTGCTTAGGGTGTACATTTCAAATCCTGGCTTGTACACAACATTGAAATTGTAACTCTGCAATGTAAGCATCATGCTCTGCAAACGCTTTGGAGCACATAAAAGCGGCTTCTTGAATATGGCTTTTAACGGTTTGTGATCAGTTTCAGCAATGATTGCATCTCGGCCATAGAGATAATGATGGAAACGCTGACAGGCAAAAACAATGCTTAAACATTCCTTTTCAATTTCAGCATAATTTTGCTCAGCTGAAGAGAGTGCTCTGGATGCAAATGCCAACATCCTAGGCCATTTTTGCTTGAGTCGACCGCGGTATGCACACACACTTAAAGGACCACTACAGACACCCAGATCACATCAGCTCAATGAAGTGATCTGGGTGCCAGGTCCCTCTAGTTTTAACCCTGCAGCTGAAAACATAGCAGTTTCAGAGAAACGGCTATGTTTCACTGAGGGTTAATCCAGCCTCTGGTGGCTGTCTCATTGACAGCTGTTAGAGGAGCTTCCGCGATTCTCACTGTGAAAATCACAGTGAGAAGACACTGAACGTCCATAGGAAAGCATTGAGTAATGCTTTCCTATGGGCGGTTTAAATGCGCGTGCGCCTCTTGCCACGCATGTGCATTCGGAGCTGAGAGGCAGAGGGATCCCCAGCGCCAAGGGAGTCCGACGCTGGAGAAAGGTAAATGCTGAAGATACACACTCTCACGAACAGACGCATACACACTAGCTAACAGACACACACATTTACTGACAGAGACACACTCAGCGACAGACATACATACACACTCACTTACAAAACATACACTTTCACTGACAAACACACACTCACTAACAGACATCAAACACACTCAGTAACAGACACACACAGTAACACACTCACTAGCAGACACACACCCAATAACAGACACACTCACTGACACACACTAACACAAACAAACACACAAACAAACACTAACACTCACTAACACACACACACACACACTCTAACACACACACACTCTAACACACACACACATTTTTTTTTAAATTTAATCCCCCCAGCCTCCTTACCTTTTGGAGTGCTGGGGGGATTCCCTGGGGTCCAGTGGTGCTGCTGGGCAGGCGGGCAGTCTGGGTGGCCGGCGCGCGAGGGAGCACTCTCCCCTGAGTGCTTCCTCTTCAGCTCCCTCGTGCGCCGCATAGGGATGCCGGCGCCGGAAGATGGCATCATCTTCCGGCTCCGGCATCAGTGCGGTGCGCGAGGGAGCTGAAGAGGAAGCACTCAGGGGAGAGTGCTCCCTCGCATGCCGCCCGCCGGGGTCAGCAGGGCCAGCCTCGGGGGGGCCCTGAGGTGGCTGCCTCCTGGGCCCCCCAGGAGAAGAGGCTGGCCCAGTAGGTACATACCGGGTCGCAGGGGCGGCCGGGCCCCCTGGTGGGCCGGGCCCGGTCGCAGCCGCGACCCCGGTATGTACGCCACTGGACTGATCCTATAAAAATGGTTGACAGTGAGCTGGAGGTGCACACTTGCAGGTAAGGAAGAACTAAATTAAGTCAATCATAGCTGGATATTTGGACAACACATGAAAGGAGAGTAACACAAACTACACAGAATGTATATTTGGACATACCCTGCAATGGTCTACTTGGCAATGCTAGCTGGGTAACTGAAGGAGGAAAGTAAGTAACACAATGGTAAATGCAACTAAGAGTCGAACTGGAAGAGACCACAAGAATAGGAAATGTATAGAAGACAGCTCTCGTGGCATCATGGGTCTCACATACAGACATTCCATGAGCTCTTTAAGAGGGTATCAAGATACACCACCAAATTGATAATTATCAGCTACATGTTGCGATGTTTATTAGAGTGGTAGGCCACTAGGAAGTAGGATGTCGGTTATTTAAATGTCCCTATGGAATGGGAGTAACTGGACAAAGTTAAACGCATACGCAACATATAATTTTTTAATTAGGTGTGATGATTTCATTATTTTAAACTATTACTCTATAAAAGTTACCTCTATTCCAGCGCCAGACAGTCTCCTCAATACAGCCTAAAACTTCTTCATTGAAGTCATCAATCCTGACCAGATTCTTTACTGCACTAAAGGCACAACACGTGTGCAGGAATTGTTGTGATCTGCCAATCCAATGATTCTCTATGAGAAATCCTTCTCAGAGAGAAGCATTAGATGCACAAAATGTAAGCATACTGTGCATGCTAGCAATGGATGTCGAATGGATTCAATAATTGAATTGATTTGTGTTGGAAGCCCCTAATGGCTGACTAGGTAATTGCTCTATAAGGTGTGGAAACTGCAACATATAAACATTGCCATTTGAAAGAAACAACAGTGTTTTCATATGTTGCATGAGGAGCTATGCAAGCGTCTATGCATTCCTACCAACTTTGTGAGGTATAAGATTGGGACGGTACATGCCCTGAGAGGGGCATCGACAGTTATGCAAATCGCAACACTAGTGACGCCAATAAGGGGCAGCCAGCCCACTGAAGAAGCCTGTCTGGCCACCCCCATCCTACAGGACCTTGCAGAGTATGCTTCTGAAATACTCCTAGTACCAATTTACATTGCAAGAGCATTCAAGGGATAGTTTACTGTCACCAAGAAACACAATTGGGATGGCAGGACAGGTCCCTAAAACTGGGACTATTCCACTGAAATCGGGACTGTTTGGGGGCCTGATTTGATAAAATGAAGTGATTTTGGTGCTTTGAGTGTTCCTTAACTAAAGTGATAACTAATGTGATTGCATGATAAATCTTGCCTAAAAAGTATTGCATTTACCACATTTTCCAGGCACAGTGGCAACTCATTGATGCAATCCACGATAAAAAGTACACTTCATCTATCAATTCTCTCACCTCATCATTTTAACTAACCACCAGAAAGGAAAAGCACATTAAATAAAATAAAACAATTCAACATGTACATATTTAAAAAAAAAAAAAAAAAAAGTTAAAAGACTAGATTAATTATCATCCTGGATGAACCTTAGTAAATTAAAATAAGTGAACCGTATTGGAGATAATGGAATGGAAAAGTCAATACAGAATGGAAAATGATACAGATATGACATAAAACCATGAAACTAACAGATGGTGAAAAAAAACAAAACAACAAGAAAAACATTCACACAGAAAATAAACACTATACGGAGTTTCCATGCAACTGATGCTGTCTAAGAGAGTTTAATGTGCGAAACCTAGCACCTATGGAAATATTAACATATTAACAAGGTAACATGGAAAAGGGAAAAAGTTTTCTAATCGAAGTCTTTAAAACATTATCAAACAGGAAAACAGCATAGGGACGGGCAATTATACTTAAAGGGACAGGATCAACTTTTTATTTTACTGACGCTAAAAACATGTCCCTATCACATATTCCCTTATTTCTGTGTAAAACAAAGCAATCTAAAAACAGTGATCAATAGTAAGGTGCTTGTGCAAACAAATTTAAAGATACACATTTTACAATATTTGATGGCTCAGGAAATGGGATTTAGGGGAGATCATTATTATTGTATGCTGTAAAACGGTTTTTAAAATTTACTTTGCATTTGGAATTAAAACAATTACTTTCGTGTATGATCTAAATTAAACTTTAAAAAATGCTACAGGGCAGAATCACATATGCACTAAAATGAATCTCCTAGTACATTTAACAAAATCGAAAAAATTGAAAAAAGAGGGGAAATACATTTTTAAACAAAAAATGTACTTCTAACAAAAAAAAATAGAAACTTACAGAAATGTCAGAAATCATTATACATTTTTAACTGTGTAGTTAAAGTGTACACATGCCCACAGTCTTAAAAGCATTCACCCTGAGACTCCAGGTTCATTCTCTCAACAACCTCTTGGGTGAGTGGTGAAAAGTATGGATCAAGTCTATATTCAACGCCTGTCCCAAACTGTTAACACCTATAGGCACCCAGACCACTTCAGCTCATTGAGGTGGTATGGGTGCACTGTCACTACACTGCAGCACTAAGTCTGGCTCCTGTGGCTGTCTACCAGACAGCCACTGGAGATGCTTCCTGGATCCTAACGCACTTTTGGTCTGATTACTGACGCTGGACGTAGCATGAGGACATCCTGCGTCAGCTATTAACCCATAGTAAAGAAACAATTCATTAGCGCCCACTCATCAAGGGACAACAGAGGAGGCGGAGCCGCGACCGAGATTAGGTATGTAAACGAAGGGTTTTTAACTCTTTCTTTACTGCAGTGGGGGGTGGTAGGGTGGGGAGAGGCAAAGGGAGCTATAGTAGTGCTAGGAATACAGCTTTGTATTCCTGGAACTAAAGTATTCCTTTATTTCTACCCGGCTTACCTATGTATTTGGGGAGCACAGTCTAGGCAACTCTGTGGAAGTAGTCTATCAACTGTGCTCCATTTGGCTGTGAGACCAGATCCCATTTTTCTATATAAGCACGTCAATTTCACCATGCTCGTTAATAAACACATTTTTAAATTTAGAATAATTTTTTTTTTTAAATCAAGTAAGACGGAGTCATGCAAATCTCCACACATTATATGATCAATTATGATCTTCTGCCCAATCCTGGAAACATCTTGGCCAGTCAGGATCCTTTCATCATAGTCTATGGAATTTCAACTTTCGATACATTATTGTACTTCGTTTCATCTTAGATCACTATTTGCATTTTTATTTTATTTTGTATCTGTACTCACTTGCAGTTTATGTAGCTAGTGAGTCTATTGCTTTTTTATTTTTGGAAATAGATTTGGAATTGTTTGGTCTCAAATAAGGGATAATTCGGTTCTGCTAAAATTGTCCTCAAATAGTAAACACGAAAAAAATTGCAGTTGAATTGAAGGACTAACTTTGACTTTGACTATGACTAACTTGCTGCTGCATATATGGCATTTAGTTAACATGCCTCTTTTCTATATGTAAGTGAGGAAAAACACAGCTCAACACATGGATCATAGCTGTCTGTTTTCACCTGAACAGTCATTATTCTTTTTTTACACACTGCCTGGAGACATTTCCATTAATCCACCCGTTTAAAATACTACTTTTGGTGGCATATTACTTACACATGCTATCATGTGTGATAATTAGAGATGACTATATTGAGCTAATCTTTCAAGTCATGTTTTACTGCAATGAGAACACTTGATGCTTGGAGCTGGTATTATGATGTGATGACTGACAGAGTTTTAAAATGACACCTGAACTCAGATAGATATAGCAACCAACTAATTATAAAGTCCCACTTTAGCAGTATAGCAAATTAAAGGCTGAGTTGCCAACCAACTGGTTATATTAGACAAGTGAGATTAGTATATCCAGAGTCAGATTACCCATTAGGCAGGCTTGATGAGCCCCTGACTGGGCCTCGTGCAACAATTCTGGCTGTGAGGGGGGCCTCCTTGATGTGCCTGGGGGATCAGAAGATTTCCCTTCTTGACCAATCTCAATTTGTTGCGGGAGCGTTGTGGTCTACACCTCTATTAGGTGCAGACCATTTTAAGAGCCCCCTTGCCGTCCCCTTTCTGCCATCCTTAACTGAGAACCAGAACTACAAGGGAGCTCTGAAAGTGTTCTAAACCAGATAGTGGTGCAGACCACAGTGATCTGCCACTGGACCAGCAGAGATCCAGCTCACCTTCCAAAGCTGGGAAAAAGGTATACACATAAACAGTGGCGTACACACAGCCAATGAGGCCCCAGTGTGAAACTGATCCATGGGGGGCCCCCCTCCTCCCTCCCTCACTTTCTTCCCCACAGCCCGACAGACACACACAGACAGACACATACAGACACATACATACACACACTACACATACTTACAAAGACACATACATTCAGACAGGCACAGATACATACAAAGACACATACATACATACAGACAGACAGGCACACATACATACAGACAAGACACACATACAAACAGACAGGCACACATACATACAGACAGACACATACAGACAGGCACACACATACACACACACACACACGACACACATACAAATACACATTCAAACAGACAGGCACACATACAGACAGACACGCACACACACAAGACATACATACAAACAGACAGACATACATACAGACAGACACAGACAGATAGACACGGACACATACATACAAAAACACACACATAATATTTAGGTCACCCTCCTGTTTCCTACCTTTTAGGTGCAGGAGGGTGACTTTCCCTGGGGTCCAGTGGTGGCTCAGGTTGATGGGAGTCAGAGTTCCCACTCTGAATCCCTCTGCTTCCTCCCGCGCGGGCTCTCATTGATACCTGGGAGGAGTGACAGGGAGTCACTTTCTCCCAGCGTGTGATGATCTCATCACAGGGGGCCCGGTTACGCTGTTAAAGCGCCGCAGCGTTGACTGGGCCCCCTGAAAATCCATATCCATCGGGTGGCCCTGACAGCATGGGCCACCCGATGGGCACCTTAACTTGCGGCCCCGGTGGTTTGATGCACAGGCTGGGCCGCAAATGATGATGTCTGCAGGGCGGCCCCTGGAGTGACAGGCCCGGTCACAGCTGTGACCCCTGCGACTGCTACATGTACACCAGTGCACATAAACTGGGAGAAAGGTACACACATACACACAAAATGGACAGAAACAGAGCCCGGGATTTTATGAGGGGGCCCCAATCTTGTACACTGCCTTGGGCAATCTTAATCCGGCACTGAGTACATTTAACGGATAAACTGACAGTATAAGTGAACAGCGGTTCTCTAGTTCTATGGGTTTTCCCTCCAACAGGAAGACTGGTTAAAGCACTGGTACAGCACGGCAGTATGTTGACACTTTATTAAAGGGTTACTTTTGAAGTGCTCATGGTGTCTGGAGTCGGTATGAGCAGCGCTTTTCTCTGCATATAACAAGTTTAATCCCTTGCGTCATGGGGCATCACAGACCAGCCCAGTACAAGAGTTCTGGGTTGGCTAAGGTCAACTGTGTATGCATGCATAAGGTGTGCTGTGCCTTTAAAAATACATTCTTAAAGTGTGCTGTGCTTATTTATAAAAAGGTTAAAACTATAAGTGCATTCTGCAGCTCTCCAGAAGCCAAATCTTGGAAACCTCCCTACACTGGAGACCTGGCACACGGCAGAACCAGGTAAGAAGGCAAACCATTGTAGCACAGCTTGTTCCATTACTGGAGAACGATGCCAGGGTACTCCTACCATCATGACCACTACAGCATACTGTAGTGGTTGTGATGGTTGGAGTATCTTTTTAATATAATAAGTATTTTTTTAATGGCAGCCAGGGTGTGTGTTATTTCTAGGCTTTGGAACTTTAACGTGAGATTTTCATCACCTTTTTGTAGCATTTGAGGTAAAATGCAGTATGAGGAGCTATGAATGAATACTGCTCAGGATGTGTGGGAGCTTTATTGATAACTGGTTTTAAATTACACAAAGGGTACATGTGGATCCAACTATTAGCCTTTAAAGAAACACTCCATAGAAGAATAATACAACCACTTGAAGTATATACCCCCAAACAACACAATATAATAATCATTAGATAATTTGTGACAGTGCCAACTTAAAGGGACACTATAGTCACCAGAAGAACTACAGCTTAATGTAGTTGTTCTGGTGTCTACTGTCTTTCCATGCAGGCTTTTTAAATTAGACACTGTATTTTCAGAGAAAAGGCAGTGTTTACATTACTGTCTAGGTACACCTCCGGTGACAGTCATTAAAACGGCCAGTAGAGGTGCTTCCTGGGTCCACACTCAAGTCCACACTCTGCATGAGGATGCTGAAAGCTCCTCATAGAGATGCATGAGCAATAGCCTCCCCTATGGGAGATCATCAAGTTTGTAAATCAACTTTTTTTTTATTTTTTATAAGGGGGTAGGAGGTACCAGGATCCTAAACAGCTACTTAAACCTTTATATTCAGGAACACTTTGGTAAAAAAAATAAAAACAAAAAACCAATAACTCAGTAGTTATCACAATAAACACAGAAATGTAGTGAATTGATAACTGAATTGCAAAATTTAGGCAAAAAAACAACTCCAACTCAGCTTTAGCTTGGCTATGTAAGCCTAATTTTTTTGTTTTAATCAAATTTTTTTTTAAAATATTTGAGTTCACTATAAGTTAGTGTTTATTGAGTAAACGCCATACTGTATGAATTGTTGTCCACGCAGACAAATTTACAAATAGTAAATAAACATCAGCTTAATATAGAAAGCTCTTTTTCGCCACCTGCTGGATGAAGACTACTAAATCAATTCTGTCTATAACTGCAAAAGTATTAGCACACATGTAATTAATTACCAACTGATCTCACAATGGATTTTTTGTTAATTCTATTTTTATTGAGCAGTTCATTAAGGTTTTGAGGATTATGTTTAAAGAATAATTTTGTGGCAAAGATCTAAAACTGGGGTATTCACTAAGGAAACCAAAGGAACATTCTTGCTGATTGCTCCAGAATGATTCAACAACCCCCATAAAGTCGGAAAAGTTATATTAGATAAATACTAACAGATGGGTCAGCAGCCAGAAGCAAACATTTGTAGAGAAATAAAAGTGCTGTGACACTGCCAATATAAAGCAATTGGGAAGATGGTAATGGACAGATTAATACATTTTAGAAATGAAGAGTGGAAAGTACTGCATCTCCAACTAACTCTTCTAAACTCTGATTCACATTATATTTGGTTTTTTTTTTTATTGTTTGCTCTGTGTCCTATTTTTTTTTTTTTTCTTTGATAGTCTTCATTTTGGATACTGCATCAGAGTATTAAATACACAGTTTGGAACCAAGATAGTGGAACACAAGATGATTCATGATTCTAAGTGCACGGAATATCAGGGTAAAATTAGCGGGAAGCAGCTTTACATTCATTTATCAAAATTAGGTGAGTATATAATCATTAAAACCCAGTGATACTAGCCCTGGGATGACAAGACCAAAATAATAAAACGTGACTCATGGTCCTGGTTTTTACGTGTTTTTTTGTGTTCATTTATGGTTTATATTATGGCATCCAATATATATAATACATAATTTAATAAAATATGATATATAATCAGGGATCAAAGTGTCAAGTTTTGTGATGCTAAAGAGACCAATAGGTTAATTTACACTACAAGCCTGGAGGGTCCATGGCAGACTCAACAGTAGTGAATTTTCACTAATTGAAAGTTTTTATTGAGAGTGAAAAAATACTTTACAAACAGATTTGAAGCATTGCTTTGGTTAATACAGAATTCTCATAATATACAGGAAACATACTGGTCCAATGTTAATCATTAGATAAAGGAACATGTCGTTGTAGATTCACTATATTAGTTTGTAGTAGTGTGTCATTGAGGAGAGCTCCACACACCCAAAAACGTTATGGATATATCATTTGAAACCTTGATTACTAGAGGACATTTGTGGGGAGAGCGCCAATTGTTTAAGAGTCTCATGTGGACAAAAATGTCTCAACTCTTTAAATGTTCAGTGGGGCAGTGAGGCCTTCGGGCTGCGACCTCTTTCAGTTTGCTTACACTTCCTTTTTTGTCTATTCTAGGGGTTAGCTTCCCACTCTCTGGCTTGGTCTTCCTTTCTATTGTCTCCCCTAATGCCTAGTGTGTAAGTATCTTGTGCGTCCTATACTCCCTTTTTAATTGAATTTTTGATATAGCTCATAATAACATGTATGACTGTATTATATGTTTTGAAGAAAGTAGAGCAACTGAAAGGTAATATACTCAATAATCCAGTGTAATTCGACTTTAAACTGGAGTTTAACCACTTAAGGATGTTGGGACATTTGCAGCATGAGGGGGAGATCTCCTCTTGTTGCAAACAGCCAACTACTGAGATAGAGCAGGGAATTCCTCTGAAATGTGGGTAGGATTAGTGCTATGGTATGGTAAGTGTAGGGTAAGGGATTAAGGGTTAATGCTGTTTTAATGCCAGGGATAATGTATGATTAATGTTAGGGGTAAAGAGAGAATTTCAAAGTGAATTTCAAAACTTAATCTAAAATAGCCAAATTAGATAAAAATATCCATGTCAATTCTGTTTAGCTAGTCTGGACTTAAATTTGAAATTGACTTAAAACTTGACTTCACATCAATTCTGACTTTAGTGAATAGCTTTGAATCAGAATTTACTAAGAATTTATCAAGATTCCATAGCACACAAATATAAATCTTCAGTTGCAACAATTTTCAACTTCTAACTTCCTAGGTGCAAAATCACTGTATATCCCAGCATGCACAAATATCCAACTTAAAGGAACACTATAGTGTTAGGAATACTAAATTGTACACTATATTGTCCCTTTGCCTTTGAAATGGCAATGACGATTGGAGTAACCTTTTACTAATAAGTGACATGCACACCAAACATGAAAACAATATAAACTTTATTTAGCAAATTAAAATATACAAAGGCACAAATTTCAGCAAAATTATGGTGAACTAATACTTCAAATTCTAGACTGGCAAACGTGCAAGAAGATATCCAATATTTCAGTAAACACCATTACCTTAAAGTGCATGTGTTATGGTACACACAACTTATGCTTATTTTAGTCACTTAGTTTGGACACCAGCATGTTGTTAATAAATCAAAGGGGGGTAATTATCAAAGTGTCACTGACACTTTTCTGCCTAATTTTCAATGGAATTTTGGTGCAATTAATTAAATCTGTCAGATGTTTCATCTACTGTTTTTTTAACGCACTAACCATAATTTTTGAACATGCAACATTTTTTTCACATCCAAAGCAGTTTTATGAATACACAGGCCCACTTGTTGGTGCTCTAACCCAGGCTTCCCCAAACTCCAGCCCTCTAGATGTTGCTGAACTACAACTCCCATGATTCAATGAATGAAATAGATAGGCTGAGAATCATGGGAGTTGTAGTTCAGCAACATCTGGAGGGCTGGAGTTTGGTGAAGCCTGCTTTAACCTAATCTACAGCTCATTGATACCATTGTATTTCTTGTTTCCTAGTGATCATTTCTTTGGAACTTTGTATTTAGGAACCATAAATGACAAACGTGTAGATTTACATTCCAATATTATCTTAGAGGGACTCTCTGTGCTAAAACAGTCACCTCTTTTATTGTTTGTTTCTCACTACCTTGCACATGTATAAACAATTTTATGAAATTCTAAATATATGTATATATCTCTGTGTATTTCTAGAGACTAGTAGCTCATAGACTGCTAGTCTGTCATTTCCTCTTCTGATCTCAACCAGTTTCTGTTTTGGATCCAGTTTGACTGAAAAGCTTATTCTTTATGGCAATGATTACTTCAGTACCAGCAATGGAGGAATGAGAGATGTATGGACCTGTACACAAATATATTTTACAAATTGAATCCCTATCAATGTCCCATGCTACATCTTCATAACGGCAGCCTTTAAATCAATAGTAAAGGAATTTTTTTTTTCTCTTAGCAAAGATGTCTCCAGTTATTATCATAATATAGCTGCAGCACATTTCACTACTGTCATGTTCAAAGGAACACTTTAGTGTTAGTAATGCAAAGATGTTCCTCTGGTCCTGCAGCCCCCTCCCAGTGATGTAAAGGGTTAAATAACCATTTATTAATTTACCTGATTCCAGCACAGAGGTTGTGACACTGGGTCACAGTACTCCTCCTTAGACGTCATGCGGTTGGGGGGGGACCTAATGCACATTCACGGTGAGTGCCACATGCGCATTAGGCCTTCCCCATAAAAAATCACTGCTTCAATGAATCTCTGATGCTGGATGTCGTCATGCAGAGCGTGAGGACGTCCAGCATCATTTCACGGAGTCAAACTCTGTGAAACTCCAGCAAGCGCCTCAGTTGGGTCACTGAGCCCTCTGTACTGTGTGAACTAGGAAATCCCTCTGCTGATATCAATACTGACATCAACAGAGGGAATCCCTAGAGAGGTGGGATTAGAGGGTGGATTTAGGAGTGGTATCAGCGTTGGATTATAAATAGGAATAAATAGTAATAAATAAATAGGAATAGGGTTGGATTATGGGTAGGAAAAAGGGTTAGATTATAGGTTGGATTAGGGAAAAAGGTATACATGTGGGGTTCACTGTGCTCAAGAACAGTAGCACAATATAAATGTGTTGTTTGCAGTAGTGGGACACTCGTGGTCTGTAAATTCTCCAAAAAATAAACTTGTGGGAAAAATGTTCAAAAAAATGTATTTAACCTAGGTTTGTGATAAAGTGGTTAAATGAGTGTTAAAATGCTTATAATTACATATCCTGTGGTATGTACTTTCTACAAATATATACTTTTGTGTAGCGGTTTTGGATTCCAGGGCTGCTACTTAAATTGTAATCTCAGCATGCAACATTTTGCAGTTTTAGTTAAAAGAAACTGCAATTCATTATTTGTTTTAGAATTTAGAAATTAAAATCCAAGACATATTGGGCATGATAACAAACAGAACTAATTGGTGAATCTATTTTGAGTTAGTTTTCTTTACCTGCACTTCGTGTGCAAGTGTTAATTTAAAAAAATAAAAGTTTCCATTTTAAAATATTTTCTACCTAGATAATATTGCTTATGTATACATATTGGGTATTTAAAAAAAAAAAGCCCTATTTCTCCTTTAAAAATGATTTATAATATGTATGGGTGCACTTAAAAAGAAAGAGGGATATTGTGGCTGTGTGAATGAATGCATGGCAAGACGCCAAAAAGGCCTTGTTTACATCTAGAGTTGCATCTAAAACAAGCCTTGGTTCTTAAGGTGTTAAAGAAATAATTATTCCCTTTTCTATAATTTATTTCATAACTGTAATATTCTGTTAAAAATCAGATGAATTACAGAAGAGTACGCCTGCTCTAAATACTTGTTTCCAAGTAGAGATCTCAGGCTTAAATGTCATTGGGGAACGCAAGTTGGATGCAAGATTGCAAATGAATAGAGTTCAAATCAGGTGCTGCCTTCAGTTGGCTATTTAACAATAGATCCATGGTTGTTATTGGTAAGAACACTATTGGATTACAGTACTCTCTGGCTGTAGGAAAGAAATGGAAGCCAACATTCTGCAACAAAAAAAAAAAAAAAAGGTTAATGAACAAGGACTGAGAAAGGGCAGTAAAAGGATCTGGATTTACTGTTCCTTTTGATCTCTTACAATAGGATCTGTTCCAATTTAAGTTAACCTTTATAAATGTTTTATAGATAAATTAGCAGAATTTTCAGAAAATGCACACGCACACAGTTTTCCCCACTTGTTTACTTTTCTGGAACCATATGCAAATTCTCCCACTCTATTCTGTATACATAGCTTGGCTATTTTGCCTCAATATTGCCATTAGGATTTTTATTCCCTAAAATTCAAAGTTTAGTATATCAACTCTGCAGTGAACTGCTAGGAATTCAGAGTGATTTTAAAAAAAACAGGCCGACTGAGATTGAACTGAAAATATAGCTAACTGGGAATTTTGTCTATTTTTTTTTTTAATTTAGCTCTTGTACCATATAATTGGAAGTTCACTCTGAATTATCAACATTTAAAGGGAATTTGTCATGGTGAATATTACTTAATTTACTTTTATTCCTCATGTAAATATATTTATACATTGTGCATTGTATAGCTTAGTATAAGCGCTGCAGAATTACTTGGCGCTATATAAATACCAATAATAATAATAATTAGGGGGAAAAACAAACAAATAATAATTAGATTATAGAAAAAAATGGCACGCACCTCACTCAGACTATTGGCACAGAGTTTGTGCCAATGTCTATTTTAGCATAGAGCCTGTTTTCTTGCGGTCTTCAAATGTAGTAACCATGTGTTACGTTTACATTTTGCATTTCTCTAGTATCCCTCTGTATAACTGGTAATATAGCTCATATTACAAGTTTGTTGCATTTATTGTGCAGGAAAGCTCATCAACCAACAAGCCCGCACTAGACATCAAATAAGAACACAGTGGCGTCTGACGTCACTCTGTTCAATTGCCAGTGTGCTGGCAATGAAGCCAGCATACCAACATTATCAAATGGGACTATGCCAGTCATAGGGCATCCATCCCAGGCTTCCTAAATGTAGGCAAGATTAATAATAACAAAGTCTTTAACCAGGAAAGGTACATTCAGAGAATCTACAAACATATGCATAAATTTCGCCTCAAAAACAAAATATCAACTTTCTAAAGTTGTTTCAGATACAATGGGAGGAACCATGGGAGGAAAGACAAAGCCATACCAGAGTGAAGCAGCTAGCTCTTCTAAAGATATTGGCAACTTGCTCGGAGTAACTCCGCAGCAGCGGCCTGCCAAGATGGTGCTCGTGTGAGAGGTCTCCAACTATACATTACATCTGAAGAGAGCGATCCATATGAATCATTTGGGCAAAGTGATATATAAGTAAGCACAAATCTAACTCCGGAGCAGACATCCAGAGCAGACATCCAACATCTACTGAAAGAGCTAAAGGTCCTTTTGCTTCTGATATCACACAAGCAACTTGTACAGGCTGCTACTCGTGAATCGCTTATGGACCATTTTGAGGGTTCTGAACTCTCCTTCTTTAATGACCTATCTAGGTCCACCATACTTTGGTGATAATCTTTGAAACCTGTGACACAGACGCTCATGACACCCAATATTAGTGGGGCCCAGGCTGCAAACTGTTGGCGCCACATAAAGAGAAGCAAATGTAACTTTTTCATCTGTCAGACATGGAGAAGTTTCTAGCGGCACTGGGTTTACGCTTACCAAACATCTCAGCGAGGCCTACATCGGGTCAAGTCCTACATCCTCAGCTCATCTATGGGACATGCACGACATGGAGCTTTTTTACCCGCTGAATTCGACTGGCACCAGAGGCCTGATAGCAGAATGGCGAGTGTCCACTTCCATGATTCTTTCGTTATACAGTTTTGCTATGATTTTTCTTATCTTGACTTATTATTATTTTAGCTAACTATGAATATGACTATAGTTTCTTTTATGACCGTACAAATGACAAACTTTCTCAGGACTCACACCCTCCCATTGGCAAATGATTGTTTCAGCATATTCAGTCTCCTATACATATATATAAAATGCACATAAAATTGTGCATTATACATCTGATAATATTTTACAGGACAGTCACACTAGTTTGTTTTACTTTATGGTGTACATCAGCTATCACTGTCCTCTGCTCTTATTTGCTGCACATAAAATGTAACAAAATGTGCATCTAACTGATTGTATGATCTTTCATGTGCTACTATAAAAATATAAATGACAGAGGAAAAGAATCAGCCCTGGTGAGTATGCCATGGACCCTCCAGGCTTGCAGATGTGAGTAACTCTTAAGGCCTGGCTACTATCGCAGAACTTGGAATTTTATAATCCTTTAAAGTCAATCAGTTGCTATTCCATGGATTTAGGATTTGTACAGAGCATTGAAAGCAGGTGTGTATTTTTATGTGGCTTGAGTATTCTTGGATGAGTTTGTAAGTATACATATAAAGTTGGAATGCCTTCAGGTAAATTAAATCTTTTACTTTAATGGAACTGTTGACATTACAGAATAGGCAGCTCAATTTTGAGTAAGTCTAAACTAGAAGATCTTCAGAGGCATGTATAGGTGATCAAGAGTTTGGTTGAAGCTGGTCTGCTTCAGAAACTGGGTGAACTAGGTTGGAATAGGGTAACTAGGTTGGAATAATCTTAAAAAGTAAGTGTGGGATGGTTTTCAAACATTAATAAACTTATTCTTAGAGCGTTAGAAATGTTTCCATATCCCCGTTTAGTAAAAGAGGATGCCAGCAACTGAAAAAGTTCCTACATAAACAACACTATTATGACGCATGGCGTGTCACTCACACTCAAGAACGTTCCAATACACACTATTCTCCAGTACATAATTCGTACTCCCGCATTGATGGCTTCTTCATACATGGCTCTGTACTCTCCCTAGTTATACGATGTGAAATCGACAACATTACTTGGTCTGACCATGCCCCGGTCACTCTAGAGCTAAAGGATCAATTTGAGTACCAACATAACAGCCCGTTTGAGGCTCATAGAGACCTTATTGAGAAAGTCCACTTTTGTACAAGAATTACAGACTAAACTCACTATCTACTTTACAGATAACAGTACACCGGGAATGTCTCCAAGCACAGTCTGGGTGGTGCACAGAGCTGTAATTAGGGGTGAACTTATAAGACGAGCATCCTTCCTACGGAAGAAGGTTCGCAAATCACTCAATCACTGGCAACCTGAATTGTACCGTATTAACATTCAGAACCAAAATGCACCATCCCAGGAACTAAAAACCAGAATCTCCCAACTTACACAGCTTATACACTGCCAAGCCTTAGAACATACGGCATATCACCTCAAACGACTAAAGCTTAAGTAAAAGCTTAAGTATTACACACACGGGAATAGGGCTAGCAAGTTGCTGACATCACGTATTAAAATTAAGCAAGCCAACCAGAGGCTAGCGTACATACACTCTAAAAAAGGTACAAAAATCATGATCCCTAACGGTCATCCCATAGTCGTCCACCAGCCATAACCTGTAAATAGTTCTACTTGTACACGGTCTCAGACCACACAGCAGAGATACCACAAAAAACCCCACAATAGCGGAAATGCAGAGCCCTTGCCGTTAAAATGCTCAGAAAGCCACACAAGGCATTTAGGCTCTCCACACAAAACATAACAAACCCAGTCTGCAAAAAGACGACGAGGACAGATATTACGTGATTTAATGAACCACATCATAGAGATATGTACCTCATCAAGTTATGTATCAAAGAACTGTTTACTTTGTATTATAGGCCTATTGGATAATGACCTTGTGACATGTAACAAGAGGACCTAGTATACCTTGATGTGATTGATGGATGTGTAACCCCCTTTCTTTCTCTGGTGCCTTTCTGTATCCAAAAACAATAAAAACTGTCAAATTGAAAAAGAAAAAAAAAAGAAATGTTTCCATATCTTGGAACTGTTTTATGGAGTCTTAGTACTTTTCATCAAGACCTGGGAAGAATTTAATGGGTCTGTTTAGGGCTTCAGGCACCAAGCTTGAAGGAGGTTACACATATTTGCTTTGTATGGTTCAGGTAGCTCCTAAAATTACAAACTGCTTTTTTCACCATGAGTTCTTTGGAGAAATTCAGAAATACTTACATTTTGTCCTTCGTTAACATTTGAGAGGGATAAGGCAACTATAAATGAAACCAGAGATCTTAGTTAATATGAAGAGAAATGCCATATAGACTATAGTTAAACAAAAATGGCAAACGGATCAGACAAAACAAGACATTTCCATTTATATATGCTTGCTAAACTAGGCTTGATATTCAGTGCTACTAGCTCAGACCCCCGGTAATTGGTTAAAAACTGGTTGCTACTAGATGTTGACAGCCAAGAAACCCTATAGAACAAGGATCTATTACAAATTAATACATGCACCTGCTTATATTATATAAATATATACATACATACATACATACACACTAAGTAATTTGGAAAGTTTATCCATCGTGTAGCAAAGCCTGAATTAGCTGTAAATTTGGCTAATTACATTACCAAAATTCAGAAATCCTCATTCAAAGATAGGCTAACCTACTGCTTGAGATTTCAGGCTCATTGCTGAAGGGATTGGCTTGAATCACATTTGATTATGTGACAGTGTATTACCTGCATTACCTCGGCATCTGCAGAAGGGGCAGGCTGTTGATGCCAAGGAAAACAGTTTTGGCAAACAATTTGCAAAGAAATAAAAAAAAAACAAGGGGGAAGGAGACAAAAGACTTATAGCACCATAACCATTACAAACGTTTTTATGGTGCTTAGCATGACCACTTAACATTCACATATACCAATATATACTCATTGATCCAAAAATAATTAAATAAATTATTGACCTACAATATACTTATAAATTAAGCAATAACAGTTCATAATTTGTCATGAATAAATGTCCTAATAATATTGACTCATACACCCTCCCAGTGTAATTTAACAAACTGTTCTAGAACAGAGGGTACAATGATTTGATCACCTACTATATAGAAACCACACATATTATTAAAGATTAAGAAGGTTTTTCACTAAAGTGAGAATTTAGGATGAAATGAAAAATTAAAGTCCAAAATAGCTGAACTAGAAAAATTCTCTAAATCAGCTATACTTTCAGTTCTGCTTCTCTGGCCATAAATGTGAAATTAATTTTAGTAAATAACCCTAAATAATCATGTTCTTCCTCAAAGAAATTAAACGTAACAAAACAGAATACATGGACCTACACATCATTTTCTCATTCTTCCCAGATAGACTTCAAAATACAGAAGAATCTGTTTCCCTAACAATGCTCTCTCAGAGGTACCTGTTGCGATAAAGACGAACACAGCAGAAGAACATTTCAGCTCCATTCCTCCCTTTTGTTGTTTTCAGTCCTGTGTGCTCAGAAACTGTGTGCAGAGAACAGCGCTGAGCTCCTCACTTGTTTGCCAGATTTGTAGGACAAAACGTATGATGTCATAAGAAGTAGAACACTCCTAGACTCAGTGTATAGTGACATCCTTTTTCTTCATATCTTTGGTTCAATGGCAAAATAGACAAAGGGGACGTGAAAAAACGCAAATGGAAAAGATATGAATAAAACAAGAATGAAGAAATGAAGAACAGCAAAGCACAAGCACAGGAGAAGGATTGAAGAATAAAAGGACTGAGGGATACAAAACATAAAATACTGGCAGCAAGCCCTACAACAGAATTGAAGTCCCACCCTCGGCCTAAATTTTAATGGGTTATTACCATCTTCCCTGTGTAGTAACTACCCAGTTCAGATGAATAATATTATATATATATATATATATATATATATATATATATATATATATATATATATATATATATATATATTGTGATAAAGTGAAGGCAGTTAGGCCTTTTAACCCCAGGGGAAGTACGTGTAGTTTGTGTGTTGCACAACACAAAACACTGTTTAGTTATGGGCCCCTGGGGTGGAGCATTTGGAGAGAAGGGTGGGCCAATGCCCCACTCCACAGTTTAGTGGTTTTCTGGGGAGACATGGATCCAGGCCAGGGTTTTTTGGATCGTCTCCAACGCACTGCTCAGCTGCAGTTAATGAGCTGTTGCAGTGGGAATAAACTCCTCCCTGCTAGACAGGTAAAGGAGAGGGATTGCTGGCTTCCTCCCAGGAAGCAGGTAGGAGAGAGGCTGATCTCTCCAGATAGAGTCAAAGAGACTAGGCACTGGGAGTGCAGAAGGAAGCAGTCAAGGCTGGCTTGGAGGCACTGGGAGTGCGGAAAGGAAAGCAGTCAGGTCAAGGCTGGCTTGGAGCACTGGGAGTGCAGAAAGGAAAGCAGTCAGGGCAAGGCTGGCTTGGAGCACTGGGAGTGCAGAAAGGAAAGCAACAGGCTAGCTAGCAGAGTGTACCTCTCTAATAAGGTTGGTGCAATATTGTTTTGTTTAGTTTAACCCTGAGAGATAGGGAACCTAAAGTGAGTTAGTGCTCAGACCGAGCTAGGTTTTTGTTTATAGGGTTTTCTGTTACATTTATGTTTTCATTTTACTGCTGTATCCTGTGTGAACTTACAAATAAAGTGCCTGGAGTATATGAATTACAAGGACTGTGCATGATTTTGCCCTAGAGGACCGTGCTACCTGCTGACAAGGATCACAATATGGTGGAGAATGCGGGCATAGTAGCACATTGAGGATCTGTGGGTTGTGTGGCGTGTCTAGGTTATGCGTGATGGGCAGTGTAATGGCTGTAGTTTGCCTTCTCCCTTCTGCCCTGTTGCTCTCTTGTTCATGGTCCTCTCAGATCGACACATCTGCTTGCATTTAAAACTAAAGATGATACGTGGAGAGGAAGGGGGGAGACTTATAGTGTTGTGCTATTTTGCTATCCTTAGAGGTTTTCGTTTAGGGGGTTGTAGTATTCGTTTGTAGGTTTTAACGTGGCTTGGATCTGGTGTGTGTTGTCAAGCCTGTGTTACCCTAATAAAAATAAAATAAAAAAAACCCTGGCCTGGATCCATGTCTCCCCAGAAAACCACTAAACTGTGGAGTGGAGCATTGGCCCACCCTTCTCTCCAAATGCTCCACCCCAGGGGCCCATAACTAAACAGTGTTTTGTGTTGTGCAACACACAAACTACACTTTCTTCCCCTGGGGTTAAAAGGCCTATCTGCCTTCACTTTATCACAATATATATATATATATATATATATATATATATATGGACTCGAGATCTCCCCAAAATTGATTAAAGGGACATTATAGGCACCCAGACCACTTCAGCTCATTGTCCCTGTCAGCTTAATCCTGCAATTGTCATTATTGCAGTTATTGAGAAAGTGCAATAATTACATTGCAGGATTAACACCACCTCTAGTGGCTACTAGACAGCCACTAGAGGCGCTTCTGGGTCAGCTTTGCATTAGGAGATCTAAAAAGCATTTTGTCTGTTTGCCTTCAGTTTGATCTGGAGCCGACCCATTCTCAGCAGAATTTGTTGGAATATCCCTTTGTTTAATGCCAAGTCTCCTATTGGAGACTTCTGCAGACTTTTTGTCAGAAAGTTCAATTCCCACTGCCCTTATGAGACTCAGTTCTATTCCACCCACTCAAGAATTTGGAAGACTTATAATGAGGAATTAGATTTATAGTTGTCAAATGAATCACAACTGCTTTGACATCTTTAGTTTGAAGGAGGGAATTTCTCATTTGCTTACCAGATGTCTTGCTTTAAATTCTGCTTGGAACATTTCAATGGTGACCTATTGTGAAACGTCAGGCTTTTAACCACCACCTGAGACTTTCTTCTATCTCTAGAAAGAACATCATATGAATTTCCAAGGAATCTAGTGACTGGTTCCTTGCCTGAGGTATCTCCTGTTGTAAAGCTGGAGACATGTATATATGGCCAAAGGACTACAATTTACTTCAATTGCCTTCTTGAGCAATATTTTTTCTTTTTTTTCTGATAAGTAGACATTAAATTATTGCAGTCCAAACAATAGAGATAGATATTTGTCCAATGTGGAATGCAGTTTGACCACACCAGCACAGAGTCTCTCCTATCTGGTTGCTGATGTACAGTAGAAAGGATAAAAATAAGGAGCAGAACCAAGAATTCAAGCCCATATCTACAGGTGTGGATTGTACTGCCAAGGTGCATCATCTGGAGCTAATTCATACCTCCAAACACTCTAAGTGCATTTCTTCATTTTTCTCATCTACATACTATATACAATGTTCCCTTCTTTTTGTTCTCTTTTTCCATTCCATATCAACTTGGATCTGAGAACCTCATCAAGGCGCTGCTTCTTAGTTTTATCCTTTCTATTAATTATTGCAGTGTCTAGAATAATGCCTAGAAAAACAATCCTTTGACTGTAGAACTGTTGTTTTCTCTAATTTATGCAGGCAAGTAGGGGTTTGTGTTATATGATTCATTGGGAACTTTCTTAAAGGCTAGAAAATCAATAAACGGAATGGAGCATTTTAGTTTAAAAGAAAGGTTAACAAACAAATCTCTTTAGTTAGGGAAAACGGCATCTCAGAGGATATGATAGCACTATACAAATATATTCGGGGACAATACAAACCATAGTCTGGAAATATGTTCAAACAGGACTATACAAAGGACACCAGGTCACACAATTAGACTGGAAGAAAGGCAATTTAGTCTAAGGCAAAGGAAAGGTTTTTTTTTTTTAACAGCAAGAACAATAAGGATGTGGAATTATCTGCCTGAAGATGTGGTTTTATCAGTGTCTATACAGATGTTTAGACAGCAATTGGATAAATACTTGCAGAAAAATAATATACAGGGATATAAGTTTTATATAGTGGGTTAATAGCTTCTTGATCCAAGGAGAGATGCGCCTGCCATTCTGTGGGTCAAGAAGGAATTGTTTCCTAGTTTGTTGTAAAATTGGATGCGCTTTAGACTGGGTTTTTAGTCCTTAGATCTTATTGAATACATTTACCGCTTCCTTGTCTTGTTTTTTTTCCCTCTGAAATGGGAAGAAAGTGAAGTCAACAGCTGTCAACTTGAGACCTAAAGTCAATGAGCAATTCCAACTTCATGATCTGTTTTTTAGAAGAACCTTCTCTGATTCTGACATGATCTTAATGACTTTGAGCGGGCCAACTATAGTTATGTCAAGGATGGACCAAAGATAGATCCCTAACTTCCAGAATGCTTAACAATTCTAAAAGCTGGTAAAGCATAATGCCAGTTGTAGCTTAGCAACTTTTGCAGTCTACCTTTTGTCCAGCCCTGATTTATACCATAAAGCTCTATAAGATACAGTCGCCATCCCACACATTTGGCTGCCAACTTTCATGACTCTTCAGAAACGTTACCCACCTCCTTTCATATTCAAGTCTGGGATAAGTTGTGACGCATGATTTTTATACCACTGTTTACCATCAGTGATTCAGAATTTACTGTTTTTGCCATGAGTAATCATACGATGTGTGGATTTTCTACACTTGCCTCGAAGAGATTCTTTTGGTTGTCAATTTTTTCCACTAGCAGGGTTATTCACAAAAGTGAGAATTCAAAGCGAAATTCTCCAAGTCAACTGTGTTTTCAGTTTGGCTAGTATGGTCCTAAAATTGACATTCAACTTGAATTCTCATTTCATTAAATAATTCTGTTATAGATATGATTATTGACTAGGTTTTTTTAAACTGAATGGTATCTTTTTCTTAAGGGGTGATATTGTGTCACGGAAAACAATCCTTTTGTGTATTACTCTATACATCCCTTTCAGAGTATTGCGTATTTTAATGCTTAGTTGAATAAAATTTAAACAAAATTTAAGATATTAAGATTTTCTTTTAACTCTGTAAATTATTTTATTTTTTTATTTTGCACTTATGGGTTTTACGCTCTTATACACTATTACTGTCAGGTATAGCATGGCATGTATTTCGTCGCCGGAACCCACTTCCGGGTTCACGGCGCTCAGCCCCGCCCTTTTTTCTGACGCGGTCCCTCCACGATACTTAGGAAGACCGCGCCAGATTCAAAGGGCTGGATTATTCGCACAGGTGCTGCAGAAAGATCAGCTGCTCTACTTTTGATCCTACCTGCTCCACTTCTAGACCTCGGATAGTAAAACGGATTTCTACCTTCTCCACTTCTCGACCTCGGCTTGTAAACGGATTTCTACCTTCTCCACTCCTAGACCTCGGCTTGTAACTCTGAATTCTACCTTCTCCACTCCCAGACCTCGGCTTGTTAAAACGGACTTCCCCACTCTTCACTCCTAGTTCTCAGCTTGTTGAAACGGACTTCTAATTTCTCCTTCATTGGGTGAATTAACCCTTCCAGTGCCAGAACTGCCTTTAAATTAAGTTATACTTTTACCAAACAAGCCAATTCCTATTATTTATATTACACAGTATCTAAAACTCACTAAAGTGTCACTTTGTCTAATTATTTCTCTTATTCATAAGGGATTGCTACAAAGCCTAATTTTGCCTTCATGTGTATTTAAAGGTACAGTGACCATTGTTTCATATCAATATAAAAGGAGGTGAAACTTATTGTTGCTGCAACCAGGAAATTCTGCAGTTGAGTTCCAATTAAAGAAGTATTACAAAATAAGTATTACAGAATAATCCAGCCTAATTCAATGGAACCAGCAGATATCAACTCTCAAGTTTCTGCCCTAACCAATAGAGTGGATACGATTGCTCAAGGGTTACAGGAACTGCAAATTACAAATGAGAGAGTATTAACCTATGTTAGAGACATTCAAGGTCATCTTCCTCATGCCGCTTTTCAATCGGCTGGTGATCCTGCTGTCTGTAATCCAGAAAAATTTTATGGAGATAGAACAAAGTACAGAGAGTTTTTGAATTCTTGCAAACTACTAATAGCTTTAAAACCTAGATCTTATCCCACCGAAAGATCCAAAGTCTGTTCAGTGATCTCTTTTTTAAGAGGTGAACCTATGGCCTGGGCCCATTCCTTTTTGGAAAATGATGATCCCATATTAGATTCATTGGATGAGTTCTTTGAAGCTATGTCTTTATTATATGAAGATCCTTTTAAACAAACTACTGCTGATTTAACCATCAGAACATTACACCAAAAGAATAGACCTGTTGAAGATTATATTGCAGAATTCAAAAGATGGGCTACAGAAACCCAATGGAATGACATTACTTTACGCAATCAATTCCGTCTCGGATTATCTGAAGCTGTGAAAGATGAACTCTCTCGTACAGAACTTCCTCCTACCTTAAATGCATTGATTCAACTGTCCATCAGTATTGATAGACGTCTAAGAGAAAGAAAAGCTGAAAGGGTTCTTACTAATTCTACCTGGAGAAAACCTTTTACTACTCTAAAACTACCTGAAAAAATTCCTCCACAAACTGAACCTATGGAAGTAGGTATAATAAAAAGTCCTCTTACTTCTGAAGAAAGAATAAGAAGGAGACAACTAAACTTATGTATGTATTGTGCTTCGAATGAACATCTAATTTCCGAATGTCCTCTACTGAAACATTCAAAAGGTGGTAAGCTTCATTCATCTACCTCTATATTGAACGTTTTTCAAAAAAGAAAAGCATCTACTTATTTTTCTATATCTCTCATATTACAGTGGGATACAAAAAGAATCGTGACTGAGGCCATCATTGATTCTGGTGCTAATGGAACTTTTCTTGATTTTTCTTTTGTTTCAAAAAATAAAATTCCTTGTGTTCAAAAAACTAACTTTATTCCAATCAGAGTTATTGACGGTTCATTTATATCCTCAGGACCCATCAAAGATGAGACAATCCCTCTAAGAATGATTACCAACAACGTACATTTCGAATTCATTACATTTGATATTATTAAATCTCCACTTTATCCCGTCATTCTAGGAATTAATTGGTTAAAAACCCATGATCCTTTAATTAAGTGGTCTCCCTTCTCCATCTCCTTTGCTTCTGATTTCTGTAAAAAAACGTGCTTACAACACATTCCTATTCTCCAAACTACTGTAGAACCAGTTATACCTCCATTCTACTCCGATTTTGCAGATGTCTTTTGTAAAAAAGAAGCGGAAACACCTCATTCTTTGAAGATGGATAATTCCAAAATCAAATGTATTATTGACTGGCCCGCTCCTACTACTACAAAAGAATTACAAAGTTTTCTTGGATTTGCAAACTTCTATAGAAAATTTATTAGAAACTATTCGGATGTATCACATCCTCTTAACCTCCTCAACAGTAGTAAACGTCCTTTCAATTGGAATAAAGATGCACAAACAGCCTTCGACGAATTAAAAAAAAGATTTACAACTGCACCTATTCTACAACTACCTAATCCAACATTCTTATATGTTCTTGAAGTTGATGCATCAGATGCAGCCATCGGAGCAGTTCTTTCTCAACAAAAGACTCCACAAGATCCACTTCATCCAGTTGCCTTTTTTTCAAGATCCTTGAGCTCTGCTGAAAAAAATTATCCTATTGGTGAAAAAGAATTATTAAGTGTTAAAGCTGCCTTCGAAAATTGGCGTCATCTTCTGGAAGATACAAAACAACCTATAATAGTTTATACTGACCATAAAAATCTTGAATATCTCTATACTAACAAAACCCTTACAGCTAGACAAGTTAGATGGAACCTATTTTTTAACCGATTTAACTTCCAATTAATATACAGACCTGGAACTAGAAATAAAAAGGCTGACGCTCTTTCTCGAATTCCTTCTAAAACTACTACTGATGATTATCCTCCTAACAAAATAATAGGGATCCTCGCTTCTCTTCATGATGACATAAAGAATTTGAATCAGAAGGATCTTGAACTTCCCAAAACACCTATACTAACAAAAAAGGATGGTATATTTTATTTTAAAAATAGAATTTATATTCCTCCCATTCTTAGGAATAAATTACTTAAGATGGTTCATGATTCACCCCTAGCTGGACATCCTGGAATAAAGAAAACACTTGAACTAACTTCACGATATTATTGGTGGCCTCGCCAGGATAGAACCATTGAATTATATGTCAAAACATGTCCTATATGTCAAAGGTCTAAACCAGAACATAATCAACCTTTTGGATTACTACTTAACTTACCTATTCCAGAAAAACCTTGGCAATCCATTTCTATGGATTTTATCGTTGATCTTCCACCTTCTCAACATTTCACCACTATTCTTGTCGTTGTGGATCGCTTCACAAAAATGTCCCATTTCATTTCCTTAAAAAAATTACCCTCCTCTGTAGAATTGTCTAAGGTCTTTATTGACAATATTGTGAAACTTCATGGTCTTCCTGAAGAAATTATTTCTGATAGGGGGACACAATTTACCTCCAAATTCTGGAAAGAGATGTGTCTCTCCCTTCAAATTCAACGCAAACTCTCTTCCGCTTATCATCCCCAAACTAATGGGCAAACAGAAAGGGTTAATCAATGTTTGGAACAATATCTTCGATGTTATTGTTCATACCTCCAAGATGACTGGACCACATGGTTACCTATGGCCGAATTTTCTTACAATAATACCATTCATTCTAGTACGAAAATGACTCCTTTCTTCTCCAACTATGGTTTTCATCCGTCTTCATTCTCCATCCAAACCATTACTTCATCCAATCCTACTGTTACATCAAAAAACGAATTTATGTCTTCTCTATTTCTCAAATTACGGGAGAATCTTCAACTCGCCCAAAATAACCAGAAAAAGTTTTTTGACAATAATAGAAGAATTCCCCCTCCTTACAAGGTAGGGGATCTTGTCTGGCTCTCTTCAAGGAATATTACCACAAGCCGTCCTTCAAAGAAATTGAGCTCTCTTTTTCTTGGTCCCTTTCAAGTAATTACTACCATTAATGATAACGTTGTTAAACTAAAACTTCCTCCAAGTTTTAAACTTCATCCAGTATTCCATGTCTCCTTACTTAAACCACACATCCCTGATCCTTTTCATAGAGAAATAGTAACAACTCCTGAACCTATCATTGTCCAAGGTGAAGAAGAATATGAAATTCACAAAATTTTGGATTCTCGTGTCCACCGTGGCTCCTTACAATACCTTATCAGATGGAAAGGTTATGGAGTTGATGAAGACACTTGGGAAGATTCATCTAATGTACATGCTAGGAGGTTAGTTACTGCCTTTCACAAACGCTACCCCTCCAAACCGAAATAGTGCACCCAGAGGATGCCCCATGAGAAGGGGGTACTGTCAGGTATAGCATGGCATGTATTTCGTCGCCGGAACCCACTTCCGGGTTCACGGCGCTCAGCCCCGCCCTTTTTTCTGACGCGGTCCCTCCACGATACTTAGGAAGACCGCGCCAGATTCAAAGGGCTGGATTATTCGCACAGGTGCTGCAGAAAGATCAGCTGCTCTACTTTTGATCCTACCTGCTCCACTTCTAGACCTCGGCTAGTAAAACGGATTTCTACCTTCTCCACTTCTCGACCTCGGCTTGTAAACGGATTTCTACCTTCTCCACTCCTAGACCTCGGCTTGTAACTCTGAATTCTACCTTCTCCACTCCCAGACCTCGGCTTGTTAAAACGGACTTCCCCACTCTCCACTCCTAGTTCTCAGCTTGTTGAAACGGACTTCTAATTTCTCCTTCATTGGGTGAATTAACCCTTCCAGTGCCAGAACTGCCTTTAAGTTAAGTAATACTTTTACCAAACAAGCCAATTCCTATTATTTATATTACACAGTATCTAAAACTCACTAAAGTGTCACTTTGTCTAATTATTTCTCTTATTCATAAGGGATTGCTACAAAGCCTAATTTTGCCTTCATGTGTATTTAAAGGTACAGTGACCATTGTTTCATATCAATATAAAAGGAGGTGAAACTTATTGTTGCTGCAACCAGGAAATTCTGCAGTTGAGTTCCAATTAAAGAAGTATTACAAAATAAGCATTACAATTACTTTATACTCACTATCTTATTATAACCTCAATGTTACCTTATTAAATATCTACAAGTTAATTATCACTTCTTAATTCAATTTTATCATTAATGAGAGTTATTTATAATATCACTAACATATTGTGTATTTATATGCTCATGAGTCTGAGTTTTTTTTTATATTATGCGATGCATTATGTGCGTTTTATCATGTGATGAGATTTTCCCATATGTCCCCGCTATGTGATTACCACTTCCCATTTTCCGATTTATTGGTATGCACTACTGAGCGATGTTATACTTGATTCAGAACGCTGTGTTGGTTAAATCATTGCAATTTGTGTACTTTTTGTAATGCATTAAATAAACAACATTTTTGGAAAGTGCTAGACTTTTTCTTATTTTAACTAGTAAAATGATAACATGAAAATAAAATCAATATTTAACACACACACAAGAAAGGATAAATCTCAAGAATTCCAATTAAAATTATGCTGCATCAAAATATTAATCTTATGTCTTACGCTGTGACATTTTTACTGAAAATCCTGAGTATTTTTTTTTTGGTTTGTGTACAGTTACTCTTCACTTACCGACCAGGTTCCGTTCCTACGACCCGGTCGTAGAACAAATTGGTCGGACGGTGAGGAGTTAAGGGATTCCCTGCTCTGGTGCACTTGTATATGTTCGGGGAAATTTTCCTGAATATAGACGAACGCACCAGAGCAGGGAATCCCTCTAATCTATGCCTGGGAAATTTCACCGAACATAGATTTAAGGGATTCCCTGCTCTAGTGCGCATGTCTATGTTTGGTGAAATTTCCCTGAACATAGACGAACACAGTAGAGCAGGGAATCCCTCTAATTCCCACGAAGGCTCGCACTTGCCACCCCTCGAGAGTGTTGTAAAACAGGTATGTCGCAAAACGACCACCTGTATTTTGCGATTGAGACACAGCCTGAGTGGTTACTGGATGTTTGATCAAGCAGAGTGCTGGACTACTGGAGAGTAGACAGATTGATACATAGACAGACATGCACATATGCATATCTCAGCCCAAGCAGCCTCCAAAACATATGCAACACCAAAGGAAGCCTCCCACATGAACAACATAGCCCTGTTCTGCTTTTCTACTGTGGTGTCCCACTTACGGCAGAAACAGTGCAAGTGCGTCAATAAACTCAATTGATTTGCTTAAAATGAAACACAGGGCTATTCCCCCCAATGTAAGAGCACAAAGGTAACTGTGCACTAATCTGACATGTCCACTTTGGGGTTGAGCAGGTCATTGGTGATGAAACAATATCACTTCCTATTTGGCAGTCTTACTGGACTGCTCTGCCTTTAAATATTTTGACTTTGATACCCTTTGGTACCACATATTGCAATATTTCTCAAAATCTAAAAGTATCAGGAAAAGAAATACACAAAAGACACACAAAAGCTTAACTGTCCAGTTTTAATATTGTATGCAGTACATTGTAGCATCCACAGAATGTTTGGTTAAAAATACTGACTTTGCAGAAAAACACTTATCCCTGGAAGTTGTAAGCTCTTGTACCCATATCGGTAATGTTAACAAAATACTCAGGTGTTAACTCGTATTAACACATTTCAGAGGTAATATACAATCATATACAAAAAGTGTGCTTTATCTTCAATGAAAAAAAAAAAAAAAAATATCAGGCTGTGTTTGTACAGTGTGCCAACTAAAATTCCAAACGTATAGATTAGCAAAATATAGATTTCCCCCCTCTTGAAAAGCAAATAACCAGGAAGTATTATTACACTGCTGAATAACAAGCTTAGAATAACTGAGCATAGATGGATCTAGATCTTGATACCAAGCAGTTTTGTAGCATCTTCTGCAAACCATGTCTATAGGCTGCGCAGGCTTGCAATCACAAACTTTGCTAAGACAGCCAAGAAATCAGGCTTGCTAGTTTATCACCAAGTCCAGAAGAGGACTGCACAAGTGAACACAAATTCAACAATACATTATTATTTTATTTAATTAATTGTGTAAAATAGAAACAGCTTTCATTTTTTTAGTTACATTCACATTAAATATTGCCTTAGAAACGTCAAATACAATCCTCACACTAGGATTATATGCAGTTGACGCATATTGCTAATTCTGAGTGCTAGAAGGTTGAGCAATGCATTTTGCACACAGGAAGGAACTAAAAAAAGCTGACTGATATTGTTCTAATATTTTCATGTCTTACATTCCCTCTTGGAGTAGATTGCTGTGTGACATATTACTGTGGTCTTCCTTAAAATAGAAAATATGTAGTGTCATAGTTTGTATTCCTCTTTAGCATTACATTCATTTTAAAATAACAACCCATGCATCATTAGCATTACAGTACGCTGTAGTGTTTTGGTGCCAGGATTATCCCATTGTAAGTAGTCAAACCATTTGCTAACAGTTCGTCATCATATTTGGGGTCCGCAAGGTGCCACACCATGCCTCCTTACAGCTGGACACTCACGGTACAGGGCTTAGCTCAGAAGAACTTATAGAAGCTCCTAGCTCTCACTTCTGGCTGTGAGTGGGTCCACACATACCCCAGGTAAGTTATCAAATGTTTATTTTGGAGGTAAGTGGTGCTTGGATTGTGCTTTCAAACAAATATCATTGTACAATTAGATAACCATTGAAAACAGCTCTGTCATCGCAGCTCTCCCCTCCAATGACTAATTGATTAAGATAGATTTTACTTAAATGCCAAAACAAGTCTAAAGATATACTAAGACAAAAGTAGGTGCTCAGGAATTTTCCTATGCCTGATAAAAGAGGGAGGTAGCTTTTGCCAAGCTTGTCATTTCTCTAAGGGAAAAAAACAAACAAACAAAAAAAAACCTCTGTCTATTGAGGATCCCACAGTCTCACCTTAGACCTTCCCAAAATGAACTGGGTTTGGTTGTACATTCGATATTTTAAAAGCACACATAATAAACAAACCGCTCCGCCACCCCACCACAAAAAAAGTAAAAAGTTTAAAAAAAACAACAAATTTTTAAAGGCAACCATATAGTAAATGAATGAGCCACTTACCAAGGCTTTCTAAAATGCTATGAAAGAAGATTGCTCCTTCACAACTTGAAAAGATGTACAGTGCAGGAATTTTGTTCCATAAAAACACCACTATGTTTTTTTGTTTATTTTGTTTTTCATCATTTCTCTTTGGTTAAAGGAACAATAAATGCACATTTATACAAAATATACCAAGTCTGTCTTTGGGCTCCCAAGCCTTTAAACATCCACTCAGCTGGTGACACAGGAGCAGAGCGTGGGTACCAGAGTAACTCAAAACATTTAAGATGTGCATTCAAACCAGATATGGTCCTTGAGGCACAGGGTGCGACCCCATCCGTAGAATCCTGTGTATCTTAAAATAATGGTAAAAGTCCCCCAGGGTGAGGTGACCTGTCTCCTGCAACATATTAAAAGGACCCGGTTTTGCCCTGTTCATATTGATTTGGGTATAACTGGACACCAACATCAACTAAAGCTCTACAATGTAATTGTATCATCCCAGAGAGAAAAGCGAAGTCAGAATAGCAATACTGCCCGGATAGTAATATTATTCAAGAATGCTGGTCATTACAGAGATCTTTGTGATTTTGGCATCCATTTCAAAAATTGTAGCAGACTGAAACCAGTCACATCAGATTACAGATTCATCCAACATCTAGCACTTACTGGGGAGTGCCATGCCTGCATATGGGATGTCCTAACAGCATAAAGGTCCCATGGCATTTTAACATCTGTCAATCAACACACAGCTTTTGAATGTAATTTATTTAGATGCATATTAACATAATGTTAATGTGTATTCTATGTTCTAGCCCTATTTAGCCTCCAATAGCACCACTATCAGCAGAAAATGAAGGTACTGTTTACACTTAATTTATAAATTTAATAAAATCAATTTAAAAAAGGGGAGGGCAGCAAAATATCTAATCCACATTTTAAGATAGACATATGAAGACTGCAACAGTATCATTCAAAAATACTAAATATGGTACCCTATTGATGACACGAACATACACATTGGACATATGCATCTACTGTATTTTAATTAAGTGAAAATGATTAGAGTAGCAATTTGCATCAGTATGGTAATCGTGCATTCCCATTACGAACAATACAGCAGAGTTTGCAGCAGTGTCTACCCAATATAAAACTCACTTATTGCCCCATACATAAACATGCACACTGTTTAGTGCTAGCCAAATTTTACCACACCATTTCAGTTATGAAAAACAAATCATAGATAAAAAATACTGGAGATATTAATACAGGACCATACCGGAGTAATACAGAAAATGTATTTTACTTAGAAATGGATTTTTAAAGAGAACACTTACAGGGTTATTAAAGGACCACTCTAGGCACCTAGACCACTTCAGCTTAATGAAGTGGTCTAGGTGCCAGGTTCCTCTAGGATTAACCCTTTTTTTTTAATTTTTTTTTTTATGTTTATAAATGGGTTAATCCATCCTCCAAATCCTCTAGCGGCTGTCTCATTGACAGCCGCTAGAGGCGCTTGCGTGATTCTCACTGTGAAAATCACAGTGAGAACACACAAGCGTCCATAGGAAAGCATTATGAATGCTTTCCTAGGAGACCGGCTGAATGCGCGCGCAGCTCTTGCCGCGCATGCGCATTCAGCCGAATGGGAGGAGAGGAGGAGGATCGGAGGAGGAGAGCTCCCCGCCCGGCGCTGGAATAAAAGGTAAGTTTTACCCCTTTTCTCTCCCCAGAGCCGGGCGGGGGTGGGACCCTGAGGGTGGGGGCACCCTCGGGGCACTATAGTGCCAGGAAAACGAGTATGTTTTCCTGGCACTATAGTGGACCTTTAACTAAACTCCAAATCTGGTATTGTTCTAACAATTGTGGTAGAACATTCTCTTTTGGAGCCTCATGACCAGAATAAAATGATGTATTCTGTCTACATCACTAACACTCATAGTTATCATTGAAGTTAAAATTTGATAAAGGTTTGTATAAAGCCAGTTTTGAAGTCAATATATAAGACAACTATTAAAGGTTACTTCTATGAGATCAATACAGAACCCAGCCATCAAAGGAACAGTGCTGAGAGCACACATCCAGCATGTATATTTTACCAGCCACTCCCACCTTCCTATTGTCTGGAAAAGATAGCTGTGCAAATCCCTTTAACCTCTACGGATTAGGAATCATGGGATATGTAGTTCAGGTAGTGTGAGACTCACATGAACTAGAGCAGGCATGGGCAATCTTTGGCACTCCAGATGTTTTGGACGACACCTCCCATAATGCTTTGTTAGCATTATGGGTGTAAGAGCATTATGGGGGATGTAGTCCACAACATTTGGAGTGCCGATGGTTGACTATCCCTGAACTAGAGCATAGACCTGCACTAGTATAAAGCGCTTTGGTGGCATGATCCCCACCTGGGATATATGTGGATCAGGAAGCCAAAAAAAAATGAAAGAAATTCTAAATAGATAAAATTTATATTTAAAAGGATTCATTTTATTATGATAAACAAGAGATATAGATTAATATATATATATACACACATATATACATACACATATATCAATCCAAATGGAAGACCGAGCCACACTTTACGCGTTTCACCCTTGAGGTTTCATCAGAAGTGACACATATATCTCTATCTCTATCTTGTTTATCATAATAAAGTTAATCCTTTTAAATATAAATTTTATCTATTTAGAATTTATTTTTATTTTTTTTTGGGGGGGGGGCTTCCTGATCCACATATATCCCAGGTGGAGATCATACCACCAAAGTGCTTTATACTAGAGCAGGTCTAAGCTCTAGTTCATGTGAGTAAGATACCTACCTTTTCAAATATGCACTACCACATTGATATACATATTGCACTACTGGATATTCCAATTTCTGTCTTCAAATATTCGAGACACAGATAAAGTCTACCACCACTGTAGCTGAAAATATATCCAGTGTTGGGGATTGTACCGTCTATGCCCTACACAGCAGAGCACTTTGTAGCTCTATAAATTGTGAGTGCGTTTTTGCTATAGCACTCTACTTCACTGTGTTAAATTCATACTACACTATTATGGTCTCTCTCTTTCCTTTTTCTTTGAGATACCATGCACTGTATAATAGCCAAAGACTTCATAGACTTTTAACAAAAAAGTATGTACATATGATTTATATTTGACTTCATTTTTGTACATTACTGCGTTTTAAGGCGCGGTTATCTATTTTTTTTGTATTTGTCTTCTGAAAGATTTAGTGCAAAAAATTAATAATTGCTCCATTCGTGGGTGAACTGGCCAGGGTTATTTACTGAATTGGCTATGATGCTTGCAGATTCAGCTATTCACAGATAGTCAAATTGCAATCAAATTGACATCATTTATTCCATTTCCCTGCACTCAAATCTCTAAGTCCTACAACTCCTTAATGCTACCACAAACCCCTCTTAACTCCCTAAGGATATCCAATTACCATGTGTCCACGAAACTAAACTCTTATATTAGCAGAATCCTTTTTATTCTTCTATGATGCACACTAAGCCAGCTAATCGCTCCTGTTACAGGTGTCTCAATAAAAAGCCCTTGATTGGATCTCGTGAGCACAGGCGTAACGTCAGTAGGGGGCGTAGATTTCTAGTGAGTAAAACTTAAATGTTAATACTTGCAGCATTTGGGAGTGGGGACCTAAAGAATAATGCCCACATAAAGCATTATTTGTTTTTAAAGTTATAAGGGGTGGAGTATCCCTTTCAGTCACTTTGACATTTGAACTGGATTATGGTAATTTTGGAAACATCAAGTAACACCGATTAGCAATGCAAAAGTGGCTTTACATTTTATTTTGGAGGCTTCATAAATATAATGTATTGGAAGGAAGACTTTACATTTAAGGGTAAGTAAGCCAAAATTTCACTTGCTTAGAATTCCCCCGTAGCACCTATTTTTGAAATAAACAAACATTGCCAAGTTATCCAGACTTTTGGACGCAAATATGAAACTGTGAAGTAAACACTGGTAAGTGGCAACTAAACCTAAATTTTAGCCTTATTTTGCACAAAATGCAAGAATACTCATTTTTAAAAATTCCAGTTATGTATTTGTATGTTGCTTTTGAGCAATCCTGCATAGAGTTTATTTAAAGGTTTTGAATGCAAAAAAAAAATAAAATACATTTTTCACCTGTTTAACCTCTGCGTTACTACCTCACGATACATGATAGAAATGTATATAAGCAATAAAAAGAAGACAAAAAAATCATCCAGAAAGCCTAGAATACCAAAGAGAGCTTCTGGAATAATGTCCAAGGGTAACACAATGTAGAACAAGGCTCCAAGTACACAGAGGACAATCCTAATCCGGAACATCCAAAAGAGGCCACCCACGGAAAACATCTCCCGGAAAGCGTGGCGCAGCAATGTGGGCAAGTCCATAATTCTCTCCATTAACTAAGAAGATGAAAAACAACATTGCGTTATCTTTTCCTAAGCAAGATATACATAAATGGGAAAATATTAAAAAAAAAAAACAAAAAAACACATCATAACATTTAACAAAAAAAATATATATATATATATATATATATATATATATATATATATATATATATATATATATATATATATATATATATTTTTTTTTTTTGTTAAATGTTATGATGTGCTTTATTAAAAGGCGTGATATTACATACAATTATGCCAAGTTTGACAACTTACCTGGGCCCCGCGAGGCGCCCACTGGCACCTCATTAGTGTCACAAACCCCTGCAAGGACCTTCCGTTGGCTCCACTGGGCTAATGCCACACTCATTAAATGTCTGTGTTAGATGGGTGTTCTCAGCCAATGAACGTGGTTCTGCATGGCTGGGCTTAGCTCAGTGGAGCTAATGGAACCAGGGGAGGAAGCAATGAGCACTAAGCAGGACCCCTGTAAATTGTCAAACCATTCTTACACAGGTTGACTATGTAAAGGTGCCACGGCACTCCTGGCACCATAACTACTATTGTAGACTGTAGTGGTTATGGTGCTTAGAATGTTTCTTCAAGAGACCTTAGACATTTGAGAATGGGCAAATCACACAGGAGATGTAGGCGTTTCTTAGGAAACTTGTAAAGCCTCGTTTACTCTCTTACTTTTGTACTTTGACTGGATATATGTATTACATTGTCGGCCCAGTATTTCAATGAGCAGAATGTTTTCAAAATCTATGATGCTAATTGCAGCTGCCAAAATTAATTTGTTGCCTTCTCCTTTAAATCTAACCTGCAAGAGAAGTAGTTAAGAAAAAGTTATTCTAATTTTCCTCTCCTGACATACCTCAGTCTAAAGGGAGAGGAACTGAATTAAGGACAGCAGCTGCAAATAGCTGTAGTTTGTATACCGCCCATCAATCTAGAAGTGTAAAGGAAAAAAATAAATAAAAAATTCTGAGCTTTGTGTGCAGGTGCATATGCTTTTATATAGTAAATAAATCATATGCAGATGTTGTATATCCGTATATATTGCTACTTACAGAGCGTGGCTGTCCAGAAAATCTTCGATTATAACTATTTACTTCCTGGAATAGCTGCTGCGCATCTTGCTGTTCACCAACTTCAAACATTGGAAAAAGTAGTGTTACCTGCAGGGGTCATGACACAAAACATGAGACAAAAACACAAACATGCATAGAAAGTAATGATGTCAAGCTTGCACCTGCCTCTCGGCCTCTTGTTTTAGGTTTAAAATGTTTTAGTGTCTACACCTATGCACCACATGAGGTGGAGTGGAGCTCCACAGCAATACAGGATTCTTGACTATATTAGTGAACTGCTAGAGATAACTGTTAACCCAGACTCCTAGGTCTCCCTCCTAGCGTATAAAAATCAAAATTTTGAATACATTAGTTTCCCAAATTTGCATAGCTTCTAGATGCTGTATTGCCCAAGTAAGAAAGGGAGTGATCCCTTCTAATTCTTAATTTTCCCAGAAACTTAATTATGTACATAATATGGCTATATGACAGAACTATTCCTGGGTTCCCAACAAGTATGGTCCCCAAGGATTTCATAAACAGGCACTGAACCCACTCAGACCCCTTCTCAGTTTTCTACTTTTAACCATTCAGTAATGTGGGGGGATCCCATCTCTGGCAGCACACCAAGACTATTTGTATGGGACAGTATTTGAATTCTTTTTTTCCAGTGTAATTTTCCCACTTGCCCTATACATTAATGGCGTGCTTTATTCTTATCTGAAGGATAAGCAAATTAAGAAAATGTAGACTTTGACTGCTGATCACTAGTGTTATATCATATAGAATCTTACCGTTTGACGGCAAATAGGGCAACTGATTGCACCAAGCCAGGTGCCATATCTCCAGTATGCAATAATACATTGGCCTTTAAATTAAAGGAAATTAAAAATTAAAAAAATATTTTTATATATAAACATATCAAAATGAAACAATCATCTGGAATTTGTATACTGGGAACATTTTTTCTTGGTACACAAAATTGCTTAGCACTAAACCATGAATAATTATCCCAAAAGCAGAATAGATTCCCCCAGACTTCCAGGTGGTGCACAAATATTTTCAAAAAGTTACTCTATGCACCCTTACAATTTTGTATTGTTGCAAAGCTGATCGGGCACAGAAAACTACGCACCAATTCTCAGCTTTGATAGAGGCTTAGAACTGCAGCAAACCTGATGTCAAATTTGTCCAAGTTGATCAGGTAGTGTTTATCCATGCACAGCCTTGGGCTGAGCTCTCTCTCCCTGGTCAGAGCACAAAGTACCAGACTAAACTGAGCTAAAAAAAAAAAAACAGTCACATTAAGGTGGATGTCCTCAGTGATGAGGAAATTTTTTTTAGCTCATAAAGTCCTACTGGACAGTGACTTATTGGATAAGAAAAGATTTCAAGACCAGAATGTGAGGCTCCTAATTGGAATGCTTACACTTGATGAGGGAACGGTCTAAAACAGTGCATCTGCAGGGAACTTTGGTGGCAAGTAGTTTTTTTTTGCATTATTGTTTATTATCTATATAATGCATTAAAAAAAAAAAAAAAGTCATAGTTTTCCTTTAACTTGACACAAAATTTCTGTATTTTTAATACACACCAGCCACTGGCCCTGAATTTGACACTCACGATAAAAAAAAACAAAAAACATACAAGGATAGATAGTAGATAGTTGGTTTTTCTATTTTTTTTATTATCACTGAAAATAAAAGAGTTACGTGCAATACAGCCTTATAATGAGTAAGCACGTTACTATCTCTCTCTCTACTATCTCCTGGCTTACCACTGCTCATGGATGTCCAGGTTTGGTCCTTATAAGTTGATGTCCAGATTTGGTCCTTATAAGTTAGAAGCACTAGTACAATTTCATGAGCTTTAACCATCCCAGAATGCATATGGTACCCTGCAGATGTTGTCAGGATGCATAAATGCATCCTAGCTCATTATCACTTTCAAAAAGCCTATAATACATATAAGAGGAGATTGATCAAGGCAAAAACAGGTGCTATTCTGGGGCAAAGTGATATTAGGAAGCAATCACCATGGAAACTAACAGAAAGTCTCAACATTTAGCACCAAAGAGTGCCTGTTTAACATTGCTAAATATCTCTTAATCTTCTGCATTAAAAAAAAAAAAAACCATTTTAAAAAAATGCAGTTTTCATTTGAATTACTAAAGTGGTGTCAAGTAATATACTTATAATTTATTGTACAAAGGGAAGTAAAATTCCCATCTTAAAAAAAAACAAACAAGTTTTTTTTACCACAGAAAAGATGTCCACAGTTTGTTTCAACAGGAAGAGTGGCTTGCTGTAAACAGACTGGGCAAGACATGTCTGAGTAGAACTGCAGGCGAGGTGCAGTAGGTGTGTCCTCCTGAGAAAAAAACAAGAATTCAAATTTAGGCAACATATCTATGGACACATTTTCTAATCTACAAACATTATGTCAGCCTAAACAACATGCTAGGCACCATAACCACTTCATTTTACTGATGCTGTGATGACAGGAATCCACTGGACCATTTTATGGTCATCATGTTCAGTATTAAGCCTATTACAATTATGGAGACACTTAATGAAGACCACCCCCTGGCTGCCACTGGCTTTTATCCCTGCTGGAAGGGATAGCCAATGCAGATATTATATTCCCAGTATCCATACCAACTTATAGCAGCAGCAGGGTAAGAGTGTTTGCTGATCACGGCAACCCATTACTTGTATGGCTTTAGTCTGAGCAACAGAAAAGGACTAAGCTGCAGGACACCATTGCTAAACGGTTTTCGATCGGTTTGACATTGAATGAACAGTGTGATGGCGCCAGGGTACTTTAGCTACGTAATGCCTAGATGTAGAGGTTATGGTGCCTATGGAATCCCACTAACCAGCAAAGTAAGAGTATAGGCCTAACAAGTCAAAACTACCAGTCTAGCTTTTATTTAAAGGACCACTATAGTCACCCATACCACAACAGCTCAATGAAGTGGTCTGGGTGCCAGGTCCCCCAGGTTTTAACCCTGCAGCTGTAAACATAGCGGGGTTAATCCAGCCTCTAGTGGCTGTCTTCCTGACAGCCGCCAGAGGCGCTTCCACGACGCTCAATGCGAAATCGCATTGAGCACGCAGAACGTCTATAGGAAAGCATTGAGTAATGCTTTCCTATGGGAGGTTTGAATGCGCGCTAGGCTCTGGCCGTGCATGCGCATTTGGCTCCACTCTGGAGCTGATGTTGGAGGTGAAGGAGAGGTCACCAGCACCGAGGGAGCCCGGTGCTTAATTAAGGTAAGTTGCTGGAGGGGTTTTAACCCCTTCAGGCCAGTGGGAGGGGGGCCCTGAGGGCGAGGGGGACCTAAGGACTATATTGTGCCAGGAAAACGAGTTTATATAGTCCTTAGGTCCCCCCCACCCTCAGACACTATAGTGGTTCTTTAACCCCTTAAGGACCAAACTGCTGGAATAAAAGGGAATCATGACATGTCACACATGTCATGTGTCCTTAAGGGGTTAAAGCTGTGTTTTTATGTATTCTGATAGAGACTCAAACTTTGTATATGGCAATAACTTTGAAACTCATTATTCAAACATAAAAGTGGCTCAAAGAACCATTAGAATACATAGGGAAAATTCAGCAAAAATATCCACCAGTCTGTTTTCAGTGGAAGTTGGGTCTCCATTGCATTGTAGAGGGTGGTTCTGCTGCAGAGCAAACATCTTATTGGTAGCTGCTTGAGCCAGGTCAATATTATCCCAATTTCAACCATTAACAATCTGCTGAAAATAGCCCGGGTAACCAGATTTTTGATGCTGAACCGTATGTAAAGAGACTGGATATCCATACATGCAATCATGATGTAGAACACCGCCGTTTTATATTAAGGAGCTCGTTAATTGTAATTGATACGAAACAGAGCAATACATGTTTAGACGCATCAAAAAAAAAAAAACACACCACGATGGTCCTTTGCAATCTACGTATCAAAACACTGAACAATTTCTGTATAGACCCCATAGTCAAGATTGGTCAAATCTGACCACCAGTTCTGATTAGTTTTAATTTTGGCAGCAATTTCCAATTTAGTCTTTTGACTAAAAAGCCATTTGAGTTTAAGTCGCATTTTAGTCATCTGAATTGTTTTAGTCTAGGTTTAGTCGACTAAATCTGCAATATATTTTAGATGACACGACTAAAATGTAATGGATTTAGTTAAAGCATCTGTCTCTTTTGCCCCTTCCCCAGCTTTTCTGTGTCTCTTTGTACCTCATTCCCCCAGCCCCCTCAATGTGCCTCAATCCCTCCAGCTCCCCGTGTGCCTCAATCCCTCCAGCTCCCCGTGTGCCTCAATCCCTCCAGCTCCCCGTGTGCCTCAATCCCTCCAGCTCCCCGTGTGGCTCAATCCCTCCAGCTCCCCGTGTGGCTCAATCCCTCCAGCTCCCCGTGTGGCTCAATCCCTCCAGCTCACCGTGTGTCTCAATCCCTCCAGCTCACCGTGTGTCTCAATCCCTCCAGCTCACCGTGTGTCTCAATCCCTCCAGCTCACCGTGTGTCTCAATCCCTCCAGCTCACCGTGTGTCTCAATCCCTCCAGCTCACCGTGTGTCTCAATCCCTCCAGTCTCAATCCCCAGCTCCCGTGTGTCTCAATCCCTCCAGCTCCCGTGTGTCTCCCTCCAGCTCTCCCGTGTGTCTCAATCCCTCCAGTCTCAATCCCTCAGCTCCCGTGTGTCTCAATCCCTCCAGCAATCCCTCCCGCCCCGTGTGCTCCCTCAATCCCTCCAGCTCCCCGTGTGTCTCAATCCCTCCAGCTCCCCGCTGTGTCTCAATCCCTCCAGCTCCCGTGTGTCTCAATCCCTCCAGCTCCCCGTGTGTCTCAATCCCTCCAGCTCCCCGTGTGTCTCAATCCCTCCAGCTCCCCGTGTGTCTCAATCCCTCCAGCTCCCCGTGTGTCTCATTTGCTCCAGCTCCCCATGTGTCTCATTTGCTCCAGCTCCCCATGTGTCTCATTTGCTCCAGCTCCCCATGTGTCTCATTTCCTCTAGCTCCCCATGTGTCTCATTTCCTCCAGCTCCCCATGTGTCTCATTTCCTCTTCTCCCTCCCCCAATGTGTCTTACCCGACAGTGTTACTTTTGGCTGCAAATGTAAATTTACTTTTAGTTATAGTCTTTTGACTAAAAAGCTGTTTTAGTCATATTTTATTAATCTGAATTGTTTTAGTTGACTAAATCTCTATTGTTATTCAACAAAATTAACACTGGTTCTGATCACTGCTAGAATTTCATTAGCTCAGGAGTGCCAATCTTAAAAAACAATCCTATGACTAGGAAAGGGGTCACTTCGGTTCAATGTTGGAAAGTTTGTTATTTTTTGGTAAAAACTCTAGCACAAAAATTGACTACAGCCACAGCCAAAAGTTTAGAGCCAAAACAGAAATAACGGAAAGTTTATAAATAATTGTGACATTAGAATTCGAAGAGGTATTAAATGTAGGTTTAGTATAAAATTTAGTATTAAAATTAAATATGGTATCAGGACTAGAGTTATTCCAAAGCTGAGTTTTTTCCCCCCTCCACATTTTTCATTGCTGCCCTATACAACCCTTTCCATTGTTTTCCTAGGCTCTTTACCCATAAATATTCACAGTTCTTTTTTTTTAGATATGGCGGGAGAATGGCTGCTATCCCAGTGCCTCTTCGGAGCCTCCTTACTTAGACATATCTGTATTCAGGCAGCTCACATGCCATATAACATCCTCCCAGTGCTCAGATTCATTACACTTCACAGAAATCTTGAAGCTGTCTCTGCCACCATAGTGTGCAGACAGCTCCTTCCCTTGTAGCATATAGGGACCGATGATGAAAATCTATTGAACTCTGCCTACAGGTCCCATTTCTCTGTATCCATGGTAATCCAGAAATGTCAAGCCCTGCTCTATCCAACTCATAACATATTCCCAATAATACCTTGCTAACAATTTAACACAACAGATGTTTTTTCAATTTAATTTTGACATTTATTTATTACTAGTATTTATAAAGCGCCAACAGATTCCGCAGCGCTGTACAATTAGTGGAGAACATACAATATACACAAGGTAGAGTGCGCCCTGCCCGTAAGCTGAAATCTTGCCATTTAAGCTCTTTTATACAAAGTGCATAGGTAGATAGCTTGTGAGCTTACAATCTAAAGGATACCGTGGGGATTTGAGACAAGAGGTAGCACGGGAGATTGCTTACTTTAGGTAAAACGGATAGCCTAGTATAGTATTTCATTCTATAAGGATTGAAGGATAACTCATACAATTTGTAGAGCCAGAAAACGAACAAACCACTCGCATATAATACAGCTGTGCTATCAAGCCAAAATTCTTACTTGTTCATTTTGTAGCTGTTCTCGGACTGCTCTCACTCTTTCCTGATTCTCAGGGTGAATGTTTTGCTGTTCACTCCTATAAAATAAACAAAATTTAAAAAAGACAAAAACCAAATGCTGGCACTGTACAATTAAGCTTTCACAGTACATGTTTAAATGTGTAGTTTAAGCACCATAATCACTACATATTGTTATAGTGGCTATTGTCCTAGGCAGCGGGTGCAATCCCTGGTTCGAGGTTAAACCAGCTGTGTTTGACCTAAAGCAGAATTTCCTGCAGCCCAGGCGCTGCTCTCTGTATTGCCAATGCAGAATTCCCACATTAGCAATATTAACTGCCTATATTTGAATAGCATTAAAAGGCTGAAATACTCAATATAAATAGATAATCTATTTGATATAAACTTGAAAGCATGGTTGGATAGAGGTGGCCTGGATCTGAAGTTCCATGAAGATTACGAGCCCATTGTAAAACAGTTTGGGTACTAAGGGTCCTATTATCCTCCATACACTTAAACACCAGTGTCTCCAAAAGCAATAATCACTCATTGATACTGAATGTGTAATACAAATATAACCCACATTGCATAAGGCATCTTGCCGTACTGTGCAGACATTGCAGAGTAGAGGGTGTAAGCACTCCACCAAGCAATTCCAGGGAGAACCATTGGTTAGGTAGTCTTGTCAGTTATGGCAGTTATCTTCAGCTGGAATGCTGGATGTGTGCTGCTCTGCACCCCCGGTCGGAAAAACTGCAGTATAGACAACTGCTATCGTACTTTATTTAGAGTGTTATATGATAGAGAAACATGCCAAGCACCATGGACATCTATTTTCATAGGTTATGGTGAAAATAATAACCTGTTTGTGCTTCAGGACATTGAATCCTATGTCACTTGCACAGATTCCTTTACCTTCATGTTTTTGCATGTATGAACTTACGGGGTTGCACGTAAAACAACATGAGTAGCTGCACAAATAGGTTTTAATGCATTATCTGATGAAGAAAAAGCCCAGAATGTGCTTTTAAGAAACTGGCTGTCATGTTCTCCGAAGTGTGTTAAAGGAACAACACACACACCATAACCACTGCAGCCCACTGTAAAGGTTATGATGCCAAGAATGCCCTCTGTATGTGATCAAACTGATTTAGTATGGTTTGGCAAATTTCCCGTGTCCTACTGGCCACCTACAACCCCTACTTACAGTATTTTACTGCAGGAAAATTCAGTTATTTACAAAGTAGGGCCATACTGAATACATCAGCTGGTTGCTTTAAGCCAATGAGTGCTGTCCTGGACCGGCCTTGCATTATTTATGGAGACATCCTGTTTCTCCTGTATGACAAGCCTAGATGCAGTTGGGACTCCTGGGGAGCCCATGTAAGTTGTCAACCATACTGAAAAATGGTTTGACTTACTGTGGAACAAAAACAGGGCACACCATAGCCACTACAGCAGGAGTGTTGCTTTAAAAAAAAATATCAGATTTGTATTGTGAAATAATTAAACACACACACATATATATTATACATTTTTATCCACACAGACTAAGAGTGAGAATATGCACTAGATCAAAATATTTATGGAATTGACCAAGGAATTGCAATTCTTGGGCCAAAATAGGTGAGCTGGCAAAATAGAAGAGTTTAAGAATTATACCAATTGAGCTAGTTTGCAATGCTCTGGTAAGCTCTCCACAATTTCCAATTTAATGAATAAACCTCAGAAATGACTTCTATATGTGCAAACAAACTCCACATTACATATTGTATTTTGGATTTCATCCTACCTCAAGAGAAAAAAGAGCAGCGTGGCAATGAAGGACAAGCTGAGGACAACAGCAACAATCACTTGATCGCTTACTCCTTCAATAAATGAACCTTCGTCTAGATGTGCATGTAGGATTTCAGCCATTCCAGAATTCAGGCATTAAAATCTAGATCAGAATATGAAAAGATAAATTCTGTTTACTACTAGATTATAAAATAACAACATCATAGCACCATAGAAAATCTCCCCTATATCTATATATACTTAACAATATCAATTTGTCAGATATAATTAGTGCAATTAGTAGTGTCAGAAAAAATGTTATGGTAAGATAGCATAAACTATAAAAGCTGCCTAATGCTGGAATAGCTTTAAAATGTATAGAAATTGAATTCATTAGACTTGTGACCCTGATTTTAAATCTCAAACGGTTTACCTTCTCATGTATTTTGGCATGAATGGTTTTCTTTTGTCCACAGCCACTTGGAGGCATTGAAGCTAAGGGCCCCCATTCTCTTTCCACATGATCTGCTCACATCCATGAAGTGGCTATGTCTAACAATATGATGTTTCCCAAAATAAGCAGAAGACCAAGTCACCTGATTGCCCGAGAGCAGCTTCGCTATGAACAAGGATGTTCTCTAGGAAGTTGGCACATAACCACATTAGCTTGTAGGCAATTACACTTGTTTATGTCAAATAAAAAAAAAAAAAAGGTTTAATAATATACCGGTAGATTCTCACTGTTCTGTCAGCTGTAAAAAGTGAGATCATCCAGGCTTGAGTAGATCTTATTTAATAGTTTACCACAGTTGAATAAAAGCTGCAAAATGATATATGTGAAGGCTTGGCCTGCAGTTGTGGGAGGGACATGTTAACCTACTTAAACCCCCTCCTCACCTTCCTCATTCCCGTCTGTTTTTTCGCGATTCGCACATCGGGTTGTCATTCCTCTCCTTTCCTGTTCCTCATGGCTTCGTTGTCCTGGCCTGCTGTTTCCCTGCTGCCTGTTGGTCCGCGGTCCTCCTGGGCTCTGGCGCTGCAAGACTCGGGTCTCCTTTTTTGCAAGTGTTCTTTGGTCTCTTGGGGGGGAGGGGGGGTTCTGCTGCTCGCCTCCGCTGGCGGCTCGGCTTGCCGCGCCACTCTTTCGGGCGTTCTTGGCTATCAGCGGCGGCGCTGTCGCAAGTTTCGCATGTCCATGCGGCCGCACAAGCGTGTGTCGGGTGCAGTTCTGGGTGAGGTAGGATGCTTAGGCATAGCTGGTATATATATGAAGAGTCCTTAAAGAGTCCAGACGTAACTGCTCAACTCCCTTTTCTCACTTAGGGCTTGAAGTTGCTGGAAGCAGTGTGAGATAAAACAGTGTGTGTGATTAATTACCTGCTTTCAACTATGCTTTTCCCAGCTCACTGTTTACCTTAATGCGAGAGACAGAGTTTACCTTGGGAAAAGCAGACATGCTTGCAATTTATGCAGATATCTGTGCTGCTTCTTCTAATTGCATGTATGTTGCTTTTATGTGCATCTGGTGTGAGTCTTTACTGTCTAACTAGCAGGCGGGCGAGTCTCATTCGGTCTTCACAAGGCCCAGGGAACAGGGATTTAAAAGGGGGGGGAGAGTTCTGAGGCCACACTGGCTCCGAACATTTATTAACCCATCATAAACATCACTGCTACCAGGCAGCACAGTTCCCTAGTAGAGCTTACCCTTACACCTACTAGACATGTAGTACACCTCCCAGGGACATTTAGCTGGGTGACTTTACATGTAGGCGTCTATGTGCGGTAAATTTTGTGGGCGCAGGGTGTACCTAGAACCTCTGAAGATACTGATCTAGGGTGCCTCTAAATGGCAACTTCCCCTGGATCAATTGCTATATCTTTGGCCGTTAGCATGGGGCGAAATCAATAACTGCACCTAACTTGGGTTTGGTAGGGCCAGGTTACAAAATGGCCACATGACATCACATGTACGTTTCACTCTTCTTCGTGTCCCTGAGGATAAGCTCGGTTAGATGGCGCGTGTCATTCTTTATAAAAAAAAAATAAATATGGACTGGGGTGTCTCGTTCGAGTTTCCTTTCCTGCTGCGTCAATACACAGTCTTAAGCTATGTAGTTCCAGTATTCGTGAGGGTGTGGTCCCGCCGCTGGGTTTTTTCTTCCGATTTTTATTTTCCCAGCTTGGCTGGGCTACGTCTGCCCGCTATACCCGTGCTACGTTTTTTCCAGTAGGAGCGTTAGGTTTTGTTACCGGGCACGATCTGGCCCTTATGAGCCCCATGGGCTGTACACGCACATGCGCTTTCTTTTTTCCTATTTTTCCCATGCGTGCTTCCATATCAGCCTGTACACCTGGACCCCGACAGTTGCCCCTACATTTCTTCCTCGTTCCCCGCTCCCTCTTCTTTTCTTTCACACTGTACGTCCCCTTTCTCACTCTTTACCCTCTCTTAGTTAGCTGTTGCAGGCTGTCAGGGCCCTAGGGGCCACTAGCTGTAATTCCCCTGGCTTCTTTGCCTAGGTTAGTGGTCCCGCGAGGCCAACACCCATCCTTTCACTCGGAGGTACTACGCCCCTCGGGCCAACTCATGGTTAGTCGCCTCGCACTGTGGCATAGAGAGGGATTCACCTGTCACTCCCACTCTATCTTATGTTTAACTGTCACCGAGAGGCCGACACCCCACCACAACGTTCAGTGGCTATGCTATCCCCTCGTACCAACGCATAGATAGAGCCTCTCACGCCGCTTGGCATCTAGCAGGGCCTCACCTGCCACCAAACCTAGTTTAATTGTTTCGGCTTAGCTAGTATGCCAGCGCTCACACACACACTCGCACTGGGTCTCGTGACCCCCATGGGGTTTACACCACCACAGTTTCTGTTACCTACTGCCGAGCTTGCTCCTTTCAGCCTGTCTGCCTGGACTCTATCGCGCTTACTCTGATTTCGGTTCCGGTCGGTACTGCGGTTTTTCCTCGTTCACACTCACGGTTTCGATACACGTTTCAGCAAATCCGTCCTCTCTCACACTGCCTTCCCTCCCCTCTTAGTTAGCTGAAGCTGGCTGTCAGGGTCCTAGATGTCCACTAGCTTGTAATTCCCCCCTGGTTTCTTCGCCTTAGGTTAGTGGTCCCGCGAGGCCAACACCCATCCTCATACTCGGAGGTACTACGCCCCCTCAGGCCAAATCATAGTTAGTCACATCGTGGCATAGGGAGGGCCTCACCTGTCACTCCCATTCTATCTTATGCTACAAGTCACCGAGAGGCCAACACCCCACCACAACGTTCAGTGGCCACGTTGTCCCCTCGCGCCAACTCATAGATAGAGCCTCTCACGCCGCTTGGCATCTAGCAGGGCCTCACCTGTCACCAAACCTAGTTTTTAATTGTTTCGCCTTTTGGCATTAGCTAGTATGCCAGCACGCACGCACACTCTTTCACGCTCACGCGCTTTTTGGGTCGCTTGGGCGCGGTTCTTAGTCTCCGCTGCAAGCCGTGGTATTTTTTATTTTACTTATTTATTTATTTATTTTCGTCCGGGCTCTCTGGCTGGGTCTGGTTCTCATCTCCCTGTGGAGTTTCGGCTACGCCTACCTTATTTTCAGGTCCTGGGCGCTTCCTCGCTTACTGCGGTTCTCGAGAGTCAGCTTATTCCCCCCCCTCACGGCAGCCTTCCGGTACAGCTGTTCTCTCAGTGTCTGTCCACCTACACGGGTGACGCTGCTGTCGGCTATGGGGCGGTGTTGGATGGCAGGTTGGGGTAACTGGCATCTGCCGCTTTGGCTGGATCTGAACCAGTCTTCCCACACATCTTTCGTACGATCAGTCCTGTGATGTGGCCCTGCCGATGGCCTCTCCCGCAGCCGCTACTATTCCCCGCGTTTCTGGGCTTGCTCGGGGGCTGCCAGCCTTGTAAGCTCGTGGTTGCCATCTTTCACGTCTGGCTCTCGTCTTTCTAGCGCTCGCGATGCATGTGTTCGGACCTTCTTCCCCTGCGAGGCTCTTGTCTCACATATAACATTTACTGTTTCGGTTGATAGGTTATCCGTGATTAACTTTCGCTTCTTTTTGCCACCTCTTACTTGCATCAACTCTACCTATCCAGTCTACAACTTCACATGTTGTACAGGTTTCTAGTCACACGCAGTTTCATGTCATCATACTAGTTTATTACCATACTCATGGGTTCAGGTTATGGGAATGTTAAATCTCCTGATTTCCCATCATCATCCAAGTTTTTGCAATCACTACCAGACCTATTTAACACTTGTCATCACGACCGGGCATCAATTTTCAATGTGGGGCGATATCTGCTTGATCCAGGGATAAATCCGACTGCCATTCTGGGGTCAAGAAGGAATTTTTTCCCTAGCTTGTTGCAAATTGGAAAGCGCATCAAACTGGGTTTTTTGCCTTCTTTTGGATCAACCGTTTAATCACAGATGTGAGGTAGGCTGGAATTGGGGAACGCTAGTCTTTATCAGCAAGGCAACTATGTAGTCTAGTTGTCAAGCCACTATACAGTTTCTCGTGGTCCCACATAGTTCCCACAGTCACCACGTCATATTGCAGCATTGTCTCAGGGAATCTCACCTACTCATGCAGTCTATTGATTACCTTCTCTACCCCACACTTAGTCTACACTAGATGGCCAACATGTTTTTATATTCCTTACTTTCCCTTCCACAAGTTAGAGGGCCGTTCAAAGCACCGGGCACCTAATTACTCGCTCAGCTGTTACCATACGGCTAGGCTATTTAAGGTTGTTGGTTGCTTTTAAACAGGTATCCTTTTTGCCCTCTTTTATTACAGGCCTACCACGACATCGGTCCCGGCACACCACAACCGACTTATTCCCCCCTTTTTTATTTCCTTTACGGCCTTATTTGCCCCTCACACAAATGTGAAGGCTTGGCCTGCAGTTGTGGGAGGGGCATGTTAACCTACTTAAACCCCATCCTCACCTTCCTCAGTCCTGTTCGTTTTTTAGCGATTTACATGTCCCCACCCTCCACTCCCTTTATTTATACTTTTTATTACACCTCATGGGTGGGCCCTCTTTTATTACAGGCCTACCACAACGTCGGTTCCGGCACACCACAACCGACTTATTCCCCCCTTTTTAATTTCCTTTACGGCCTTATTTGCCCCTCACACAAATACCGGTATATCTATTATTATACTTCAAAACAACAAAAAGGTATTACAGCACAGCAATGCAGGAGGAATTTCTGACAGGATTATTCACTAAACACCAAATTATTAGTTAAAGAAACATTATAGTGTCAGGAATACAAAGTTTATTCCTGACACTATAGTTGTAAAAACAAAGTGTAGTTGCCCCGCCCCATTACAAAAAAACTAAAAGGTTGGTTTTACTCACCTTATTTCCATTACCACGCAGGTCTCCATTCTGCTTCCTTTCCAAAAATCATGAAAATTGATGATCTCAGCCAATCCAATGCTTTCCCATGGGAAAGCATTGGGAGGCTATTGCGCATGAGTGGAAAAACACTGCGCCAGTCAGCATCTCCTCATAGAGATGCATTGAATCAATGCTTCTATATGAAGAGCGTTCAGCGTCTCCATGCGCTGAATGTCAGTGCTGCACACCCCGGAAGCATCTCTAGTGGCTCTCTGAGTGACTGCCACTGGAGATGTTCCTAGGCAGTAATGTCAACACTGCTCTGAAATGGCAGTGTTTACATTAAAAAAACCTACAGGGGCAGGTTGCACACACCTTAACAACTTAATTAAGCTGTAGTTTTTCTTATAACTAAGGTGTCCCTTTAATTAAATCTGAATGCAACATGTAGACTACAATAGCCAAGCTTTAAGTAGAACTGAATTGGTGAATCTATCCAAATCAGCTATTTTAGCCTACATTTTTCAATTCATATTTACATTTGCTAAAATTCAATTAGTTATACGTAGAACTCCATTGTAAGAAAATATAAATATGAATTTAAATTTCAACACTACAATAAATAAATAATATTAGCACACCCAAAATCTGAAATTATTTTTGGGTGCAAAAACATAACCAGCATCTTTTAATATTCAAATGTATAAATAAAGGATCCCACAGCAAAAGCAAAATGCTAAATTATCATTAGCTCTGGTTTGTACAAATAACACAGACACATATCTATAAATAGGAATGGGTGAGATGTGTAATATATAGATTATGGGTGGATTAGGTTCGCAGGTAGGTGAACTACAGAAACAAATTCAAACGATTAAAGGCTTACACAGATCACTAACTAGCAAGTTGGTGAACGCAAGACACGTATGTGCAATCTCTTAGAACCTGGAGTGGATTATGACAGACAGACAATCTAAAAAATAAAAACAATTACAACTATGACAGACTGTCAGCAGTCACACACAGCACAGGCCAGTTAAGTTTAAAAGCAAGTAGTTATGTTATCATCTAACAAGAAGAAGGTGGAAGATTAGTGGAGTTTCTCTGTTATAAAAATCTAAAATGTCAAGCAAGCTACACACTAGAACTAACACTGTTGTAGAGCACAGGGGCTCACTGACTCCCTTTCAGTAGCACACAGTTAGTACATACGTTTCTCAGCCCAGCAAGCCTGGCCTCTTCCTGCATTCAGACAGCTTGCCAGTGACACACAGGGAAGCCCGATCTCTTCCTGGGGGCTGGACCAGTGCAGGAAACACATTGTATCACTTCCTGCATTCCACGAGCGACTATATTATTATCATAGCTACTGTGTGTCTGTATGTACTAACACATCGGATGTAACACCCAGCGATATTCAGTAAGACTGACAATAATCACATGTGCTAAATCATTCACTGATTAATAGCAGCAGGAAAGCCAGACGAACTAAAAGCATTATGCATGTGGTCAGAGCCTCTGATTCAGAGGTGTGTACAGCATGTTACATTAGGATGTATGTGCACTCGGGAAAAATTATTTTGTATTATAAAAAGTGAACATTCATTGAATACAGGCATACCCCACTTTTAAGTACACAATGGGACCAGAGCATGTATGTAAAACGAAAATGTACTTAAAGTGAAGCAATACCTTTTTTCACTTCCCAATGCATGCAGTGGCGGATCCAGAGCCTGATCTTGGAAGGGGCACTTGTACATTATTTAAAGAAATAATCCAGACACAATAACCACTACAGCTCAGTGTAGTGGTTATGGTGTCAATAGTGCCAGGACCCCCTCCCAGAGTAAGTAGTCAAACCGTTTAAGAACAGTTTGACAACTTACCTGAGGTCTGATGGGAAATGGGGCTGTAGTAGGGCATAGGAGCAGTAGTGTGTGTGAGTGGTGCAATGTGTAAGGGGTGCAGTGTGTGAAGGTTGTAGTGTGTGAGTGAGGGCGGCAGTGTATGTGTGTGTATGGGGGCAGTGTGTGGGTAGGGGGGTAGTGTGAGTGTGTGTGTATGGGGGGCAGTGTGTCTATGGGGGTAGTATGTGTGTATGGGGGGCAGTATGTGTGTGTATGGGGGCAGTGTGTGTGTATGAGGGCAGTGTGTGTTTATGGGGACAGTATGTGTGTATGGAGGGGCAGTGTATGTGTGTAGAGTGTGTGTGTGATAAGGGTAGGGGGGCTTTTTTTTTATAATATATATTTTTTATTTAATTAAAATAAATATTTATGTCCCCCCTCCCTTCTTACCTTTACTGGGAGGAGGGGGGGACACTTCTTAGTCCCTGGTGGTCTGGTGGGGAATCCCTGGTGGCCCAGTGGGGAGAGTGAACTCTAGCCCGCGCTCCAGGGCTAGAGTTCACTCTCACGAGATTTGGAGCGTGCCGTGGTAACCGCGGCAACGCTCCATGCTCGCGAGAGGAGGACCCTGAGGAGCTGCAAGGAGAGCTCCTGGGTCCTCTCTCCCTCCCTCCCCTGCCGGCTGTCAGATATCTGTGATCTCCCCTCCGGTCCGCAGGTACATTGCAGGGCTAGCACCTGCATGTGCTGGCAGGGGAGAGGGAGACTGTCAGTTTTCTCGGGGGGTAATTGCCCTGTTGCCCCCCACCTGGATCCGCCACAGAATGCATGTACTGCATTGCAATAGTAAATTACAGGCATAACGGATATTGCAACTGCAGATTTCCAGTGATTTATTTAGTGATTTCCAGTGGGCTTTTATTCAGTTAAATCAAACAGTAAAAAAAAAAAAAAAAAAATCTCATTCCAGATTGTACCATTTATCTTTTACCCCTTAAGGACACAATGACATGTGTGACATGTCATGATTCCCTTTTATTCCAGAAGTTTGGTCCTTAAGGGGTTAATATTTTACTCATCTGACAACCTTAAACTGGGAGGAAAAGTAAAATAAACCTGCCCACTGGGCCATTTTCTGTCAATAAACTGCCAATTTGTATTTGTTAGCAGCTTATTCGCACACTTTGTTTAGAAATACCTCTTCATCACTTTAAGCATTTATGGTTTAACTTTGAATCCTCAGAATTGTGGCTAATGCAGCTAAACTGCAAAGTCATAGTTATAGAAAATGGCAGGGTAAACCCTTTCACTGCATGGCGCCGATTGCAGAATATGGACAATGTATGGGCAGAAAAAATATATATATGTCTAACTAGGAGTAGACATTATACATTTGAGTTGATTAACCTGTGCCATGTCAGAAGGTGTGAAAAGTTCTTACCCCAAAGACACTGAACTGAGCTGCTCCAGGTGAGAATGGAATCTTCCATTTCCTGCTAACTCGCTGACAAAAGAGGCGTGGGAATGTCTGTACTCGCGAAGCACCTTTACGTACACTCGCGGGTATGTCTGTACTCACGAGTGTATGTAAAGCGGGGTATGTATGGATTTGCAAATAACCCCTATTTTTAGTCATCAACTAAAACTCGACAAAATAAACTTTTAAAAGAAAAATTTTCAACAAAAAAGTTACTTTAAATTGCAAACTTACCCTCCACCTTCTTTGTAGCTTGCATGTGGGTACTTAACCCCTTAATGACACATGACATGTGTGACATGTCATGATTCCCTTTTATTCCAGAAGTTTGGTCCTTAAGGGGTTAAAGGAAAACGCAATTTAACAAGACCAAAATCTCCCCAGACTTTCAGGGGAATACTATTCAATAATACATATTTTTAGTGGCATTACTATGTGTGATAGCCTATTCTTCTATTGTTTAGATGCTCTGAAATTAACAACTCATCTACTGCAGTTAACATGTAGATTATTATCAAATATGAGATTGTAATTTATTTCATACTGTAGTAACTTGCCATTTAAAGCAGAGACGAATTACCCATTAAAGTATTTCCATAGGTAAAATTATAGATACTAAAAATCACTGTTTAGCAGATGTACCGCCAATGAGTACACACATGCATTTTTTATAAATCTTAAAAGAGCCTGCAAAAGCTGCAGTTTTTCTGAAATGCAGCCTTTGCAAGCCCTCCCCCTTTTTTCCAAGAAAAGCATTTCATTCTCTTCATGAGGAAATAACCAGAGGCACTAATCCTCCTGTTCAGCTCCTTCGCGCGTCGCGTAGTGATGCCGGCGCCAGAATGACGTCATATTCCGGCTACGGCATCACTGCGGTTAGTGTGAGAGAGCTGAACAGGAGGATTAGTGCTCCCTTGCTGCCCGCCCAGAAAGTACTGCCGCTGCCAGCTTGGGGGGCTCTGAGGTGGCCACCCGGCCAGCTCCTGGGTCCACCAGGACAAGAGGCTGGTAAGGCATTTGGGGCGCCAGGGCGATTGGGGGGGCGGCTTTTTTTGCCGCCTCCCCAGAAAGTGCCACCCAAGGCAAATGCCTTGTTTGCCTCGGGGGAAATACTCCCCTGATGCCTGCCACTTCTGTTTTCTCTGGGGAACTGATGGTAATAGGAAGAACCGATACTCCTCAACCATAAATCACTTCAGCAAGTTGGATTTGGAGTTGTCCTTTAGAGCGGCACTGTCACTATCTGGGACAGACTTTTAATTTAGGGGAGGGAGGGAAGGGAAAAGTGAGATTTACTTACCTGAATCAGTCTCTTATGAGGGCCACCATCTTCTTTCAGCTGGTCCCTGTTGCTGTGCTTCAGCACCACAAACCAATGTCAGTGGTTATGGCTTGGATATTGACAATTCTAGACAGCAGTCACTCTGTCCAGTGTCTAGAAGTGTCAAGTGTAGGAAATATACTGAGATAAATGCATTGCACAGGAAGGTTGCATAGACATTTGTAATTCTAAGACAACAACAATTCTAAATAATTCACTATGAATATGATCTTTATAACTCATATTTCTAGGTATAGAGCTTGTAAGAAACAAAAAAGAACAGCTTTACTATGCTATGTACTGAACTGTGTGTTTCGGCACAAAATAGTAATAGAATCATCCAAAATTGATGTTTCCTTTGAAAATACAGGGGTGCTTTAGTACTGCAGTCCACTATAGTGGTTATACAGGGAGTGCAGAATTATTAGGCAAGTTGTATTTTTGAGGATTAATTTTATTATTGAACAACAACCATGTTCTCAATGAACCCAAAAAACTCATTAATATCAAAGCTGAATATTTTTGGAAGTAGTTTTTAGTTTGTTTTTAGTTATAGCTATGTTAGGGGGATATCTGTGTGTGCAGGTGACTATTACTGTGCATAATTATTAGGCAACTTAACAAAAAACAAATATATACCCATTTCAATTATTTATTATTACCAGTGAAACCAATATAACATCTCAACATTCACAAATATACATTTCTGACATTCAAAAACAAAACAAAAACAAATCAGTGACCAATATAGCCACCTTTCTTTGCAAGGACACTCAAAAGCCTGCCATCCATGCATTCTGTCAGTGTTTTGATCTGTTCACCATCAACATTGCGTGCAGCAGTAACCACAGCCTCCCAGACACTGTTCAGAGAGGTGTACTGTTTTCCCTCCTTGTAAATCTCACATTTGATGATGGACCACAGGTTCTCAATGGGGTTCAGATCAGGTGAACAAGGAGGCCATGTCATTAGATTTTCTTCTTTTATACCCTTTCTTGCCAGCCACGCTGTGGAGTACTTGGACGCGTGTGATGTAGCATTGTCCTGCATGAAAATCATGTTTTTCTTGAAGGATGCAGACTTCTTCCTGTACCACTGCTTGAAGAAGGTGTCTTCCAGGAACTGGCAGTAGGACTGGGAGTTGAGCTTGACTCCATCCTCAACCCGAAAAGGCCCCACAAGCTCATCTTTGATGATACCAGCCCAAACCAGTACTCCACCTCCACCTTGCTGGCGTCTGAGTCGGACTGGAGCTCTCTGCCCTTTACCAATCCAGCCACGGGCCCATCCATCTGGCCCATCAAGACTCACTCTCATTTCATCAGTCCATAAAACCTTAGAAAAATCAGTCTTGAGATATTTCTTGGCCCAGTCTTGGCGTTTCAGCTTGTGTGTCTTGTTCAGTGGTGGTCGTCTTTCAGCCTTTCTTACCTTGGCCATGTCTCTGAGTATTGCACACCTTGTGCTTTTGGGCACTCCAGTGATGTTGCAGCTCTGAAATATGGCCAAACTGGTGGCAAGTGGCATCGTGGCAGCTGCACGCTTGACTTTTCTCAGTTCATGGGCAGTTATTTTGCGCCTTGGTTTTTCCACACGCTTCTTGCGACCCTGTTGACTATTTTGAATGAAACGCTTGATTGTTCGATGATCACGCTTCAGAAGCTTTGCAATTTTAAGAGTGCTGCATCCCTCTGCAAGATATCTCACTATTTTTGACTTTTCTGAGCCTGTCAAGTCCTTCTTTTGACCCATTTTGCCAAAGGAAAGGAAGTTGCCTAATAATTATGCACACCTGATATAGGGTGTTGATGTCATTAGACCACACCCCTTCTCATTACAGAGATGCACATCACCTAATATGCTTAATTGGTAGTAGGCTTTCGAGCCTATACAGCTTGGAGTAAGACAACATGCATAAAGAGGATGATGTGGTCAAAATACTCATTTGCCTAATAATTCTGCACTCCCTGTAGTGACAGTAGTCATCCGACACCACAGTAAGTAGTTACACCGTTTTTAAATGGTTTGACAATTACCTGGGTCCCTAGCAGCCAAGGTCCCTCCTGTCTTTTAGATATGATTACAGTGGACAGTCTCATTCTGGTTTCCAAGCTGACATTCTCACAAAATTGACATAGTTGAAGCCAAATAAGAAGTTTAACTTTATCTATATGAGAAGTACAGCAT